GTGGACGAGCGTTGTCATGCAGAAGGAGAACTTTGTCGCGTTTGGGACGCTCTTTTTGAATGACGCCAGCCAACTTCTGAAGTCGAGCAGCGTAGACGACGGCAGTCACGGTGGTACCGGTTGGCAGGAGCTCATAGTACAACATTCCTTCTGAATCCCACCGACAGCAGAGAAGAACCTTCTTCTCGCGGAACCCTGGTTTCGGTTCGTGTGGCGGCAATTCTCCTCGTGGAAGTCACTGACTCTTGCGAGTATGGTTGACGTAGAGGACCCAGCTCTCATCTCCAGTAACGATTTCCTTCAGAAGGTCCTTTCTGTGCGGAGGAAGGAGCAGTGACTCGCGGACACTGACACGGCTCAGAGTCGCTGAGCTGATGAGGGACCCATGTCGAGTAAACCTTCCGATAGCCGAGGTCGTTCAGATGGTTGCCGATGGCCATATGGGTGACTCCAAGTGTAGTCGCATATTCCCGAGTGGTGGCGTTCGGCTTCGCGTTGAGGGCGTTCCGCAGGGCTTCGTCAGAAAGTGTTGCAAGACTTTCTTTCCAACCCAATATATAAATGCCCCTAATGAGTGTTTAACGACACATCTCTCGCAAAAGCATGACATGAAAGGTGCAATGATTTCCCGTTCTTTATCACTATCCTCCTCCGCTAGTTCCTACATTCGGGCTATGTCAGATCGATATTTTTGTCCGGGAGAGACCGGCAGGAGCGGCTCTCATTGAGTCATGAGACCGTCGTGTTCACACACTCACTTTTTTTTTCGTTTCACCCCTACTTTAGGCACCGACATCAGGCAGCTTGTAACCCTCCCGATGGCCGATGGTGCAACACCGGCGACCGATACTGGTGGTTGCCGATGCATCGATACAGCCCTAGTATAATGCCATACATTTTGGATACAACTGACAGACAAACGGAATCACAGAGTAGGGTACAGCAGTGCGATACGCGTGAGGGGGAGGAGCGGTGGGGGCTACAGCTATCCTCCAAACACGTCACCGTCATGGCAACCCCCCCCCCCCCACTTGTCATTCAACTGCCTTAATAATATTGAGCCCTTCCTTCCGAAAATTCTGCGCACGCCACTGGGGAACAGAATGAACTTTCCACATGGATTGGCAAAGTCATCCCAAGCTCCATTTGCTGCCCCCCAAGCAGAAATATGTCATGTAATTCTTTCCCATAGTAGTATCTTTTTTGTTTTCACAACCATTCAATCCAAAACTACCGAGCCATAATAACTTTCATTTGAGAGAGAATGAACTTGTAAGTTTACAGCTTGAAGGACCTTCCAAAACTCCTTCCCTGACACCATATTTCATGCTTACAATCATCATGAAGCAGGTAAGTTACTGGATTCCTCAGCTATGGGGACCATGCAGAATGAGAGACTCATTGTAGCATTGTCGACCTGAGGGGATTTCGAAAAAAAAAAATTAATTTTACTCGTTATCCATGGGACTTTCCCAGTCGGTGTAGTAGAAGCGCACTCCAGTGCACGATCCCAGTAGGAAGGAAAGAGGGGAACTCATGCCACTCTTTTTTGTGAGTAAATAAAATGCAAGCGGCATAGAAGCTGCAAGTTTTCTCCTGCTCTTTCCTTAGCTTAGATACTATATAACGGAAAAGAGAAGAGAAAATAAATGAAGAGGATGCTGGGGAGGAGCTGGGAAGAAGAAATTATCATGAGAAAGCAGCCTGGGCTGTCACAACCCATCAAGTTCTATCTATACGGTCTCTTGGGATATTTCCTGGAGGTCATGTACACAGCCATCTGGGAATTTGTCGTCTCTCGCAACTGGGCCTTCCATGGTAAGTTCTTCTCCATCATCTATACGACATCTACCACGCCCTGCCTTCACAGATCTTTCTTATAATAATAATTATCTCGCAGGCTGCACGAGTGTATGGTCCTTGCCCATCTACGGTGTGGCTGGTTTGGGGATAGAGCACTTGTACTTCAACTGGCTCCAAAACACGCCCGCCCCAATCCGAGGTTGCATCTACTTACTTTGGAGTTTTATGTGGGAATTCTCAACTGGTTACATCCTGCGACATTTCCACGCCTGTCCATGGGATTATTCTGCATTTTCTTGGAATATCAATGGGCTCATCACCTTGGAATATGCCCCTTTGTGGTTCGGCGCTGCAATTTGTAGCGAGCAGCTCGTCGTCAAACATTTGCGATCCATTTCCTGGGCCAAAAACAATAATTATTCTTCTGGTTCACTCTGTGTCCAATGTCATAAGTCCCGATGACTTTCCATTTATATTCTCAACACATTGATCGATCGTTGCCCTTACTCCAATCTTCACTCGTACAATGGATAGTGCAATATCATTTTGTATTCCGTGAGAAGAGAACACCCTGAAAATATGCTTCATCCGAAGGATACCGTCAGGATACTAAGGATCCGCTTTACGATTCCTGTGATTGCGATAGACCATTAAGTGCTTCTTCTGGTAGAGTAGGAGTGCCTTGATCAGTTGATTCCTCAACACAACCTTTCATGCACGTTTGGACACTACATATGAACTTCGGAGGAGGGAATCCTGACGTTTGTGTGCACGAGATGGATGAGGTTATGAAGAAACTGATTGCTTTCTATAGAAGCCGCAACACTGCAATGTATCGGTTTCCTACGTCTGTGATACAGAAGAGGAGAAGGAAAAGGGATTCATCTTCGCAGTCCACGTGTCCTATTTATAGTATTGTCTCTAGTCAGTTTCATTCCCCCTAGATTGAAAAACAGTCCCTAGATCGAAGAAGAGTCATAGAATAAATATCCTTATTAAACTCCTTCGATTGGAAAATGAGTTTTATTTGCTTGAACGGAATACATACCCCTCTGGCCCATACGTTATCATGAAGACTAATTCGATAGAAGAAATAACGCTGAGGAAAAGAACATCGCCTATGGGAAGAGACCATAGAAACGCCTTCAGAAAACGAGACATCCCCATCCTTCCTCCCTTTACCAATCCACAGGTACGAATCGATGAAGCAAAATAATTACTCCTAGGGTGAGCGCTGCGAATGTCGGCACTCTAAGCAAATACTTCACTTCCACCTTGCTTTCTGGTTTTCGTAATGGAGCTTCCTAGTTCATGTTGGGTCTGGTGATACCTTTATTATAAGCCTTTTTGTACCGCAAACCTCGAGTGCTCCAGGCCTTTCATTTCCGAGGGCCTGGGTCAAAGGTGAAGTTGGGTCAGATGTTGGCAATCTCGGCACCCTTGCTGATATAGACGGCACCACTCCGTCGGTAATCTCGGCACACTTATGTATCACTGTCGTTTACAACGGACTCAAAAATGAACGCAACGACCAGATAAAACAATACCTAGTGCGGAAGAGAAGAACGGAATGTGCAAAAGCTTAGCCAAATCACAAGGTTTCGCAGGATTTTCGAAGTGCGCTTAGAGAAAGTGGCTACTGCGAGAAAACTACAACAACAAATATGACTGTTCCAAGCACAACATTAGTCCAACCATCTGAAAATACTTATCTACTCGTGCCTATGGGGACTAGTAGTGAAAGCAGTATTTTGACGATTGCAAAGTGTCGAGATTACCCCCAGTACCGACATTCGCAGCACTTACCCTATTCTTAGATATCGAGAACTGATGGAAAACCAAGGACGAAAAAGGATCGATGACTCAGATAATTAACAAGGACGTTGTCAAATGGATTTTTTTTCTCCAGTCAAGGACATGTGATATTGGTTCCATACACATGAGGTCCTGAACGTATCGAAAGACGCCAACCCTGGGAGCGAGTCTCAAATTATTAATGTGCATTGATTCATTGATTTAACGCCTATCCCGGGTTCAGAACAGAACACCACTAGGAACTTAGCAGGAAAGGTCCGAAGTACAGACCGATTGCGAGTCTTCATTGACCTGATCATCAAATAAATAATATGAAAGTTCATTTCTTCAAATTCGCATAACAACCCAGCTCATGGCCAACCGAGAAAAATCAGTCCCCTTTTTCTGTGGAAGGACAAAAAATAAAAACTGTTTTACAATGCTGTTCACAGTCTCGAATATACTGTATAATATACCCCTCTTTCGTAGGAAAGACATTGGGTGAGTCTCTTAAATACTCCACGAGCCTACGTCAACTATAATGTCCAATCGTCACCCCTTAGCTTAGAGCAAGGATGCACAACCTCCGGCTAATCTCCGGATAAGAATCCTTCCGCTGATACTGCCATCCAATAGGATATTCCATCCCATTGAAAATTGTCCTGCTTCCTCCGATGTCCGGCCCGCGATGAGTACCCAGCAGTCAATATCTGGCCCTCTGGCAACAAAGGTTGTGCATCCCTACCGAAGTGTATTATCGTTACTTCAATGCGGAAAATTACTCTTTTAAAGGCTTAACTTGCTCATATGATGTCCTCATATCAGGATTATATCTTATTTTTCGAATATCTTTTTAATGTTTCTGAACCTAGTTCTCGAAAAAATTGTGTTTGGACTCCCCTCCCCCATAAAAAACTTGGAGCATTAAAAAAATCTTGTTAAATATCCGGCAAAAATTAAAATAGAAAGCACTGAAAATGTTATCCAGATTACTGTAGTCCGGGCTTGATAAACCCGAGCAAGGAAGTCAAGATGAGTGCATTCCAAATACAAGGTAAGCCCAAAAAAATCCACCTTTTACGTCGCTATCACATTTTCGCTAATTAAGTCAGGTGCTTGCAATATACACCATTGTTTAGAATTGCTAAACTACGGTCAAAGTTCTTTGAATGAAGTCGCTGAGGCATTTAACAACAAGCATCCTGATCGACGACCAATCACACACAGTGCAGTATCCCACTTGGTTGCAAAGTTCAAGTGTAAAAAAAAAAATGTGAAGAAAAGTATACAAAAAGAACGGGTGAATAAAATGAAGTGACTACAGTCGTGCATGAACAAAAAGGAAGAACGCATGGAGTATGAGTTGTAAAACCCATGTATCCAGACTTAAAATTCACCCTGTACTATCAAAGGCACTTCGATTAGTGAAATAATTTCAGAAGTTTTTGCACAGTGACGATTTCACAGTGAGAGGTGGAAAAACGTTGCTGCGCGAACCGGGCTTCAATCACTTCAATGTGCTAACGTGCATTATTTTGCAGTCGCCTATCCTTTCCATAGGAAAAGGTAAAAGTGCATCAATGGGCACGTTATGTACGGATGGTTATCAAAGTCCTGCATAAGGAGGAAAAGTGTAGTGCCAGAACGATTGAAAAAGAATATCCAAATCGCAAAAAGAAGTGGGAGATGAACAAAGTTAGAATTTAAAAGTTATCGAAGGATATGGTAAAATGATTTAGAGAATGCTTTCCACTATCCGATATTCCGTTTCTACGAAAAGGTCAGGAAAAATGCCTGAAATTACATCCGCCTGGGACAGGTATGGGAGTTTTAATTTAAATGACTGGAGACTTCACAGCTGAGATTGTAACAGGCACAACTTCACAAAAAAAATACTAGCCGATTTAGGACCTTTCCGCATTAGATGAGGTAACACGTTCATGGGGAAGAGGGCGAGAACTGTTGGAAGCAGGTCAGGAATAAGAACCACCTCTCTTCCTTCACCTCTAAAATAATTTTTATTTGCTTTAATGAGGAAAATACTAACGTCAACTACACGGTAGTCGCCATGTATCCCAAAGTCGCCATCAACACTTCACGACTCTCTGTCGACCTCCCCTTGGGAGCCGCCAAACTCACAATGCACGGCGACACTTGTGTTATTATTGTTCTGAAAGTAGGACCATCCCACCTCGTTGCGTTAACTCCCTAGGCTAATCGGTATGAGGTTCGCATGTCAAATCAGCATGCCTCGCGTTGGGCCAGCGCGAGGCAATAAGACCTGCATAAGGAAGCAACATGAATGATGAATACGAAAGATCCCCGCTCGGAAATCGCCATCCATGGACGTAAGAGAAAAAGCTGCCGCTCCGTACATGTGCGTGCGCGCGGAATGACGGCCGATTAATGTTTGTTACATGTAAAGCCGAAGTGTCTTAGGCCATGATTGGAATAAATTTCCGCTGCCATAGTATGGAGAAAATGATTGAACTAGCAATATAGCGGCGACTACCGAGTTGGTGACGTTAGTAATATGGCATTTTTTGTAGGCTGATAAATGTTGCATAATGCTGATCGAGATATTCTGAGCGCGTGTGAACCACGATCTGATCCTACACGAACCACTACTCACCTCCACTTTATAGGACTCCGGAAGAAAGTACCTTAAGCGACCTCTACGTCGATTCATCGTTTACCCATAGCGGTTTCGTGAAGCTATTCACGGACACTAAGGGGAGGGGAGAGGAGAGGGGAGAGGAGAGGGGAGAGGAGAGGGGAGGGGGGGGGGGGGGGGCGAAGAAAAATCGCTTGCTGTAGGAATCTAGGTTCTTATCCTTCAGGCGACATACATACCCGACAACATGACTCAGCAGGAAAAGCGTAACAGTCGCAAATACGGAATGTCCAGCACTGTTGGGTGGGATTTATCGGAAAAGATGAGAGGATAGGTATGGTACAGCTAGGACTCACCACTTTTGGATCTCTGTCAGGACATGAACAAAATGAAACTCTGCACGGCTGTCATCATACACGTCAAGTCTTCTTCTTCACAATAAATACGACTTTGCAGACAAGCACACAAAATATGGAAAGGGGAAATGCAAGAGGGTACAGATGCACAATGAAAGCCAAGATCACAGGAGCACGTGCTCCTTCCGCCTCGGGCACAGCAGGCACAGGAAATGTCGTCGCGAGCACCTTCGAATAGTGGGCGCATTCAAGTTGTGACCCGAGTCATGACTCGAGGGTCTCAGTTCAACGCTCGCATAGAGGGCTCAAAATAAATTTTATTCCATGGTGACACCTCTTGTCAATGTCATCAATCCTGGATATAATAGTTTTTGAAAAGCACCGTACCTGCCGAGAATCATGAACCTCGAGTCATGATCCGGGTCACAACTGAATGCGCCCTCTAAGAGCATCAACCCCACATGCCGTGTGTTCATATCGTATCGTGTTTTTGGATGACTACGAACCCGCCGCAAACATGATCCTTCACTTGGAGACATCTGCTTGGAATTTCAAATCATATTCATCAGTTTCGGGTCAATACCTAATAAAGTATTATTACGACCGAGCCACAGCATGTGATCAAATTTCCCAAAAGCCCTAATGGGTTACGTCTGGATCGCTTGCAAGCTTGAGAATGTCAGGGAACAAGGGCCTTATGCAAAAAGAAGTAATTACTTTGGCTGACTTGTGGAACAGCTCCTTAAAACCTCCTTCAGATATGAATCATTTACATATTCAAAATTTCTGTACACGTAATTCAGACATTTCGTAACCCGACAGATTGTAACTCGTTAGACTATTTGTAAAGAATTTTCGGCACATTTTCCCTGGTATAGTTTTAAAAAACGTAAAGCGAGTAGATGCTTTAAAACAGAAAATGGAATAGCTGTGCGCATTGAGAATATCGGCATTCTGGATGTATTTTTTGGGCGCAGATGGCACTCGGCTGACAGCACATGGGTCATTTTCGGCATCTTGTATCTGAACCCAAGCGTATCTCCTCATACTTGGCGCATGGGTCATTTTTGGTATCCTGTTTCTGGACTCAAGCTTATCTCTTCATACTTCATCATTTGGCAGGCGGATTATGGATTCTCGGCGACTGTAATTAATGCGGGAAATTAGGTTCCGGAATACACGACAGGAATAAGCACTCAGGATTTTCAGTCGGATCATAACAGGAAATAAGGAGCGGTCAAATCAAAAGCGTTTGGGTGTGTCAGAGATATTTTCACTCTTGATACGAGTGATAGCAGATTAAACACCGTCAGCGACACCTTCCAATATTAGAGGGGAATAGTTACAGTATTTATCTCCGTAGACTGCATTGAAAGTGTTATTTTTGCGTCTTCCTGTGGTCCTTCAAGTTTCTTTGGCTGGAAAAATTTTAACTACACTCCTTCCCCTCATAAGAACCATATGAACCCACGTGAAAAGCTTAAATTTGTACGTAAAATCTCAATCTTGTTTAATTTGTGCTTATTAAAGTGAATAAACAACGTAATTGAATCTCTATTTTCACTCACAGTAGCTTCAACTTCATGCCTGCCATCCAATACCGAGATTTTGAGGAAAACTCTTGAGGAATTTCAATTTCCAGCTCCAGTATTCCACATTTAATTTTGCATCGGAGAGGGACGGAGAGAATGTTACTTAAGAAAAGCCGAAGATGACATTACCATGCCGAAACCGCATGTCTCCACGCAGTCCTCATGGGGAAAGAGAATTACAATTAGCCAAATCGCCTCTCGTCAATTCTACCGACAAAAGTCGTCGCTTCCAGAATGCCAAAATAAATTGAATTTGTAAGAATGAAAGGGACACTAACTCCACTTGGCACCATATGCGTCTGAAGCATGCTGCTCCTTCATGGTGCAAAAAAAAAAAACCCAGCCCCAAGTGTTGGGAGTGTCATCCACAGGATTGGGCCATTCATTCTCCAAAATTTTTTTTCTGCTCCGGAGAAACAGCACGCTCCAGATGGATGGCGCCTCTTGGAGTTGGGGTGGTTCATTCTCACCTATTCAATGGAAGAGTTGGAAGGAAGACTGGCCTATCTATTTGCAAAACAAAAAATCGTTTCTCAAGCTCCAGAGGGAATTGAGTGAACACCGCGCCTATTGATTTAACAGAAGGAAAAATCCTATTTTAAAAGCGAGGAAAAGGAGCAAATTTAGAGCAGAGGAGAAATTTAGGCGGACCAATTTTTCACTAAGTTCCCACAAATGACAAAATTCAATTAAATGAAAAAGGATCTACGTGCATTAGACCAACTTCCAGCTTCTCGCATATTTCTCGCCCTTGGCTGATCAGATTTCTTTTCAGCTGTTCAAACCACCTACAAGCAGATTGCAAAACCTATACATAACCTATGCTCCCGTGACAAGGTAAGTGCATGCAAAATTGACCTCGTTTTGATGAACCCTCCCCATCTCCCAATTTTGGAAAAGTGGCGGCTCTGAACGAGACATGTCATTCAGGAGACATGCAGGACATCCGAGTCGCCATGGAAATACATGCAGGGAAATCCAGATATTTCTCACTTCACAGATGACTGACATATCATTTGAAACCCATAGCAAGTTAGACCATTCCGGGGATCGATTGAGGCAGTGACAAGGGAGAAGAGGGGGCCTGAAATCCCCCCCCTCCCCTACCTCCCGGTCGTCATTGAACTTCCTCTTCAGAGCCCTTCCGCCCTTCCTGCGTCCGACACTGCATTGAGGGAGAATGCGCCCTCACGTAATAAAATAAAATACTGTTTTATATCAGTAGAAAATATGGCGTTTTAGAGTGGCGAAATTTGTACCAAGGTACCAAGAGATATGCTTGCGAGTGGATGAAAATTAATCTCATGAATACTCGAATTTCACAAGTAAATGATCGCGTATGACTTTTGAAAAAGAAAGTTGGCAAAGTGCGGAAGTGGATATATAAAGAAAAAGAATTGACACGTTATGATATGAATTTGATTTAACGTTCTAGGGATGTGCCTTATCTGTATCCACTTGCCCGAAGTGATACCTATTTTCATGTGCATTCAGATAAAAGAGAGGAATGCAGCAGGGAGGTAGACTTTAATCTGTTCCACAACCCAGCCATAGCTTTTCCTCCTCGCTGCCTAGCTCTTCGAGACGGCATTTGGGCCTGCATCAAACGCTCAAACGCAGGTGCATACTCGGAAGAAACTACCGTAATATTCTTCTTTATGAATACGAACCTGTGTCATCCTATCTCCGGCATAAAAGCATTGAACATCGTGCAGAGCACAATTCTCCCATGCACGCGACTTAAATGACCCCTCTCGCAAAATTATCAGAATTGGCAAGGGAAGCGAATTGAACTCTCGCATAAACGTCTTTCACTTTGATGCACTGGTTTTCCAATACAAAGGGGATCCTGCTGGATGGTCACATTATTACGCATTCACAACCGGGGCCCCATTCAATAACCATTTGGTTTTTGACCAAATGATGTCGTCACCCGTAGACAGCGATAGTGGAGGCGGGAACCAAAAACAATACAGTACTGCGTGCTTCACTCATCTTCAATCGTTGATTGATGTCGGGGAATCTTGGATTTGATGTGCGTCACTCTATACGTATCCTCCTCTTCTGACTCTCCAAGAACCTAAGGAACGACCAAGAAACCTCTATTCTGATTCTATCAGCTGCGGTCCTGGGTTACTTTTTTTTTTAAAACTCATCCTTGGAGATGCTAAATGCTCTGAAGCAATGGAGAAGACAATTCTTCGTCCACATCTTAGGGTGCATTTAAGAATTGTAGAATTCATATAGAATGTTGTACTAAATACATATGCTAAAATTTGCCTCCAGCCTTCCCAAACAAGCTAAACCTTTTCTTTTTTACACGCCTTCATATCCAAAGCGTTTCGAAATATGGCCCTCAAGACAGATAGATGGAATATATTAGAAAGGAAAGAAGTATCGCTCATTCCCCACACAAACCAAGCCAGAAGCGGAACTATGACAGTCTGACACCAACTGATAACAATAAAAAAATGAACCGGTGTGCATCAGGGTTTCTTGCTGTTACAGAAAGGAACAGAGGGAGACAAACCCCTCCAATTCAAGACTCTTTCTACCTGTTCTACATGGTATCCCAGAATTCCTGTAATCTTTTAATTTTTCCATTTTCTTAGCTAAGGGTTACAAAATTGGATAATTAGATTAATAGTCCAAGCTTTTTTTCAGCAGTTAATCTGAACGCTATCTTCTGTTTCTGTTGCAAGGATGCCCTATAACCTATACCTTCGCTTTGGTAAGGAAATTATAATTAAAAAAATACATAGAAATGCAACAGGAATGCAGGGACACCATGTAGTTATTAAATTATGACAATAGAATGCTTCCATAAGTATTTACCTTGTCAGAGAATTGAGGCAAGGGACATATAGCACTTATCTCAGACGTGACCTAGGTGCACAGCACGAGGTCCTTGAGTAATGGCTGAAAAACTCTTGAGAATTCAAGGAATATTCATGCCTTCATGAAATGAGGAATATGCTATTATTGCACAGGTAACTGCAGCAAAATGCTCTAAATTTTGAATTATGGAAGCTTGAATCCCATCAGTTGGCACCAGGCATTATGAATGCAAATAGACAGATTCAATCCTGTGTCCTCAGATTGCTGAAATAAATTTCAATTTCAACTTATTGCTCAGAATAATGACAATTATATAAAGCAGTCCAGATATCACACTTGATCATGCATTCAATGACCATGGTGTGGCATCATAAATCATGAAGTGAAAGTGCAAGTGCAGTGCATCTGAATAGGGAAACTGTGGTTACTTCACACACACACTTTATTACACAGAATTCATATTGTCAAGCAGCAGCAAATATAATTTATGTGGATGATTACATCACATAAATAACAGAAGTAATAAAAAATAACTGATAACTGCAAAAGGAGCTCATAGAAAAACTTGCAAATTCATCTCTTATTACATATTTCATTTCTGTGAGGGGAAATGCACACATAGTATCACAAGCCAATAAGAAAAATCTAGTGATGAAGAACATCACATATTCTAAGACCCATAAACTTTGGCATTCAATCATGCAGACAATGCAATGTTTATTCAATTGACAAGAACATTCCTTCTTTGGGAAGAAAATATTTATTCTGTCACTCTTTCCATGCTGAAAGGAAAATAATAAGCAAGAACACATGGAAAAATAAGGAAATGCACACCATGCAACTTTGAATCTATCAATAAAGAGGATTACTGGAAAGAAAACAATGAAAACCATGCAGGGTGAAGCATGCGAGGTTTTCTTCATGTACAGTATCCTAAGCATTAGCCTATAGGCCTTTCTAATGGGAGATGACCATGAAGACCAGGATCACAGCATGAGGGTGAAACAACCAAAATAAGTAAAAAAAATTTTTTTCATTGCACATATTTGGGGGAGGCAGCAGGTCCAGTATGCCATAATATGGTAATCCTTCACTGCATTTTAGGTCTTCATTGGATTTTTTCAATAATAGTCAACATGGAAGTCTTGACATTATCAGCCCCAACTTAGAGCAGAACTGAAGCAAAACATAAAAATCAAACAAAGAAATTGTTCCCTGTACCATCTCACTGTTGTGCTTCAGGGGAGGGGAGAGGTTCCTCAACAGGAAGTAGGGTGAGAAGGGGAGTTTGCCATGCAAGAAGACAGATGCATTGGAGTCTTCTGTAAAAAGCAAATGGACAAGGAAACATGCAAGGGTTGGAGCATTTTCACCCACTTAAATATCAATTCCAAGAAGGTAGCAAATGCAAACTTAATGAGGCAGGATCATATGATTAACACTACTTCTGTGCAATCATTTATGCAATTAGTAGACACAATTGGAAAAAAATTATTTACTTAGGGTGAAAAAAAAATAAAGGTCCAATATTCGTGCAGCTTCAACTCCCATGAAGTTTCTTTTGTAAAATATGCATCTTGAGCTGCAAAAAACTAAGAGCAGCCTCAGGTGCTCTTATATTTGACTGCTTCAAACATTGAGCCATGATGGGATCAATTTGTGAATGCTCCAAGGGGATAAAACAAAATTTTAGTCTGAGAAAATAAAAATATTGATATATATAAAAAATACAAGGGAGTTCAAAAATTTTCAAGGCTGGCAGACTTGCAGTTATCTTTGGTTGATGAATTTCTTTTACATATACTTCAATGGTTAAACTTAAAGAACAAAGGAGTATAACAGAATATGGGCTTAAAGGATTTTCTGCTACAATAGTTGAATGTGAAGGTATGTTTGGATTTAGTATGAATGGTGGGGAATCATCCCATTTGTTTTGAGAGTGGTACACTACTGTGCATTCACTCAAACGCAGAGATGAAAAAAATGAGCAGAAGGAATAATTGACCTGTCAAGTGGCAAGCCAGATAAATCAAGGTTGACTTGTGTGTGAATAATGGTCATGAAAAGAGGATCTAGGGGTGTACCACACTATTTTTGTGACCTACAGAGAAAAAGGGAGATGCAATTTACAGCCCTTTTCCTGCCAGTACCAAGGCTGCCTCTGCTTCAATTAGAGAAATTTGATTGATGTCCCACACTTCTCACCTTCCAGTCCCCTCACAAGCAAGCATCTGGCTACAGCCAACAACCCCAGGTTTGGGCAAATATGCCAAAACTGCCTCTGCCTCAACAACTCAGCCAATTACTTCAATTGCTCCAGTTAACTACTGCTACTCTAACTGGATCATGACAATTGCATGTTTTGAAAAGCATGCCTGAAGTGACAGAGGCACCTTTGAAAGCCTTGTCATGATGCAAAATGTAAATGAAACATTTTTACAAGCATTTACCATAATTTGGAGATTGCAGATGCCAATCCACATAGATCTACAAGGAAAGCAAAACAGAGTATTTCACATGTGCATTTGCACAATTAACATGACAAGACCTTTGGAAGGTGTATATTACATGCACTACTGTATTGAACCTTTACAAGTTTACAAGAATCACAGATTTTGTCCTTCAAGTATTTTGAACAAATATTCTTGACCCAATTGCCAGTAATCTTGGAATTCCATTGCAAGAGATCCAGAACAGTGACCAATGAAATGTGAAATGCCTGAAGTTATGGTTTCAATATCAGCACATCACCAAGCCTGTTATAAGCTAGCACAAATCAGGGTACAGAGCAGCAGTTTCAACCTCATAAGCAGCAGTAAATTTTACCAGGTATAGCAGATCAATATCTGCGTTGTACCTTGGCTGTGCCATTGTAGTGCTGATAAAGGGTATCCTGCTGAGAAGGATCATCCAGGTTCAATGCCTGTCCAGTTTGAAAGTTTCCATAGGAGGCATGAGGTTGAGAGTGAGTGGCATTGGTTGTAGGACCATACAAGCCTCCCCCAGGATGAAGTACTCGTGGCACGTAAGTGCCATGGATTCCTCCAACTTGGCATTCTGACTGAGACTCTTCAGCCATTGTTCCAGATGTTCCCTGTTAAAAAAGAAATGTATATCAATATCATCAAAACTACAATTTTTAATTTCAATTGTAAAGATAAATGACTATGATGTCTCACAGAAGGATCAGGTCTCAAGAAGACTTGGCTGAGAGCTTGAGAGAAAAAAAGGAGAAGGGAAAGACCCAGGCCAATACCAGAGACAATTGTGGGGCCAATTAACCCTGCTCTCAGCAGAGAGAAGAAAAGAAGACACAGTTGCAAAAGAATAATGCTGAAAATGATGAAATTTATGGCTGTATAGTGGATCCTCTGGTTGATTTTGCTTGGGCCATAAGCAAAGATCAAGTTGTAGCGATCCACCAGATGCTTCATGCTCACATATAGCAAGCCTGTGGATAGAATGAACACTAGGTATGAAAATCAGCATTGGGAACCAAATATGATACAAAGAAATTGATATGAAAAATAATACCAAAAACAGTGATGATTGGACAAGAGATACTGTAGATGATGGTAGTGGCAAAGACAGTGAGCATCCAAGCATAATTGATGCCAAATGGGAATTCATAGAAAATTGCCTGCCTCACACCGGCTAGTTCTGCTGGACTCCGGGAACAACAAAGCCTCAGGGCATACAGGAGGAGTTCAGGGAAACGAACAAGTTCCAAGGCTGTTCCAACCAAAGCAGATGTGATGACATAGTTTACATAGAATGCTCCATTGTCAGGCAAAAACACACACTCCCACCGAGTCTCATTCTTTGGTTGAAATGACCATTCCAGGAATGCCTTGGCACTGCAGAAACAATAACAAAGGCAATATAATAAGGGTCTACAAGTCAAAGAGGACCAATGCAAGACAAGAGCTCCCAAGCCTAATTTGAAGGCTTTTATTACCTAGTGAGGCCAAGGCTGGGGAGAATCACAACCATGAAGAGAAGAAAAATGAAAGTCTTGCGCATCACAGAGTGGTTCTCCAGTGAACGTGTCCAGAAATTCAAGAATCTATCAGAATACACCACCATGAGAGGAAGTACAGCTGCCATTGTCCACAGGAGAAGAGTTGGAATGAACTGGCTTATAAATTGATTCTGAATAGAAAAAGAAACAAAGTATTTCCACTATGAATGCAGAAGAGACCATGGGACAGTATAGCTTTATTGTTCTTCAGAGGTATTGAACTTACAGGCTGAACAACTTCTTCGAAAGCACGGATAATAGCTTTAACCAGGTATTCATTGTTTATTATGATGGCAGGTGTGGTGAAAAACAGCAACACCAAGAACAATGCTGTGTTTACAAGAAAGGCCTTCAGATACCACCTCTTGTTTCTTCGGCTCAAGTTCTCCCTGGAGGAAAAAATAGCATCATTTAGAGGTATTCATATCTTAGACAAAATTTGGGACCTCTTGGTTTCGTAATCTTAGCATGGTATTAAATGCGAATGCAGAGCAACAGCAAAAATAATGGCAGCTAAGTTCCACTGCAAATGTCCTCAAGGACTACAGCAGGACAAGAAGACCCACACATTTGGGTGCAAATCTCTCAGGAAAATACCATTTTGCTGGCTGCCATCGTTCTTTTGATGCTGACCTTCTTCATATTTGCCATATTGGCAGAAACTAAAGGCAATATTCAATTTCATTGCAGACCTGACAAGTGAATGCAAGGAATCATGTGACAGAGTAGCAGCAGTATACACAAAACTTTCAACTAGGAATGTAACAATTTCTAACATTGACATTGGAACAGATTTGCTGATATCAACAGTTAGATTCCAGATCTTTTGATATCAGATATCATAGATGTGTGCAACTTGCTAGGATCTTTGCCCTTTAGCACCCAAAAGGAAATTTCATAGAAAATTCCCACTATTTCAACAAGTTGCAAGCAAAAAAATTCAAAATGGAAAGTGATTCTATTAAAGGAATTGCCTTGCTATATAGTATATGACCCCATAGCAGGATATGCAATCCCCTCCAGACATGTCAATTATTTGATGCTGAATATAACAATTCCCAGTTCATGCAAAAAGCCTGCCAAATTCTGACCCCCACTACAGAGGTGACATGGTATGAAAATGGGGTTAAAGAGATGGAGCACATGCTCAATTACTTAGCTCTGACTCCAGCTGAATATGTGCTTAACCCTTTCAATGCTATGTTATTTTGCCAATGCCCAATGATCTGTGCTGAGTTATGAGCATATTTTTTTCTGCTTTGTATTCCAAATGTTAATCAACATGCATATAAAAAATAGTTATTGCCTGCAATACACCCTTCAAGAGATATCATGGGTGTCTGGTTTCCTCTGAAATTGTCAAGCAACCTTCAAAATAAATTGATAACTGGTGGGTGTTTCAAACTGGATATATCAGACAGTAGCACTGAAAGAGGGTAAGGACAACCTATACTTAGCTTGTAGCTGAAAAAATACTGGGTGCACCTTCACAAGGATGCAGAAGCTCTATCCATGTGATGGTCAAGCAACAATGTTAACATCACCCTCCAGGTGTCCTACTCCAACCCAGAGACTAAAACCTGATTTCATGCCATACCAATATATGAACAAGTATGAAGGTATTGCATCCAATCCAATGGCAAAAGAATAAAGGGTCCTACTACCCCCAAGTTCTTGGCATTACTTCATACAGAGATGCAAACAAAAACCCTAAGGGGTGTCACTAGCACCATTGCATGTTCTGATCACCCTGGAGAAAAAGCATGCATCCTACTTCCCCTCTTCCTTCCCTTCACAAAAAGAAACCATGAAAATGTGAAAAATACATTTCCCAACAACCCTTCCCACAAAATGCACCAGAACAATTCCATTCCTAAGAACTTGCACACATCTGCAGATTTTGTTTCAAATTCACTATAACTCAGACTTTGAATGAAGAAAAAAAGAGCTACTCCATCTCATAGTACTCAACTCACATTCATGTCCACAATCTCAAATCTACCAACACTGTTTCATCATTTATAAAAGTAAATGTAGGAAATGTAGCTATAAAGAAAAAAGAGAGGAGTAATGTCAAGACCTTCTTCATACCATTCTTCAATCATTTTATTAAACCCGACTTGTTTGCGATGTGCCGTTCAAAAGATAATGAATTACTTTACTCACAGATTAATACGTTCAGCTCAAATGTTAGGTACTCTTCGATACCAAACCGGAAGGTAATGCATGAGTTGAATGGAAAATTTCTGTCATTACATTCCTAGAAGCACTAACAGAATTCTTCACAAGCAGTATGTATTGGCCATTATTTGGATGGAAAGATTGCACAGTATACCAGACAAGGTCTTCTGGGCTTGGAGCAAAGTCCACAACCCATCGAGTTATCTTCAATTGTCCACCAATAGAAGATGGACATGGGTTGGTATTACAAGTGCAGTCACAAGGCCCTCTGAAGTCTAACCACACACTGTGAGCTTGTTGCATGGATCTGAAATTGAACAAAAAAAGTATTCATGAAGGGAATGGCTTTGAAGGAAACCCCTTCGAAAACATGGAGGTACATACGCAAATGTGACAAATGCAATACCAAGAGGCTTTTCAAGAGCAGTCAGTCTTTCTTTTTCAACAGCTGGATTGAGCTGTGATTCTTCTTCAGAATAGAACTCGAGGGCATTCACCTATACATATAATCATAAAGATCAAAAGAACAGAATGTTGTCACAACCAGTATCTTCTGAAGTATGAATTTGTATTACCCACCTGTGAAGATCTACAGATAGGTCCACAAGGGCAACAACAAGAACATAAATTCCCACATGCATAGGGAAAAATATAAAGAGGTTTCCCAGCAGTCTTCTGATACTGTTCAGCTGACAAGCGAGCCTGCACTGCCACATCCCTGATAAGAATGAAGGAAATAAGAGCTTAAGGGTATCCTCGAGTCTCCATGGTATTGCATCGAAAAGGAAACTGTGTAGAGTCTCATAGCTCACCTTTCAGAAGAGAGGCGGATTAGCTTCTCAACATTGTATGCAAAGTGTACCTCTTCTACTTCTACATCTGGATAAGCTTCTCTGTAAACACACAAGCAGACCACCAGGTTTCTTATAGTTTCACCAATCACCACATATACCTTAGTTCAAGATAAAATTAGACTTCAGATGAATCTTGTGGGAAGTGAATATGAAAACACATACTGGAAGTGCTGCTCCAACAGTTGCTTTGAACACCTATTCCGAGGGATGTGGGAGATCATGAGAGTTCTAGAGGCTTGGCTATCATCAGTCTGATATGGTGAACTTTGTATTCCCCGAGAAAACCGGCGCATTATGTAAATCCCCAGTGGGAACAATAAGATGGACAGGACAACATGAACCCATAAGAAAGGGGACCTGAAAAAATAATGGGGTAAAAATAAAAAATGTTGATATTACAAAGTGAACCACACAACCAAGTAAAAACAGGAATGTCAGCTCACATAGGCTTCAGATTACTGATTGTTGTTTGTCCAAAGTACTTATCATTCCCTTGCAGAGTACCTCCAATATTGAGAGGCATAATGATGGCCAGTGCAACCAGGCAAACAATGCAAAGATATACCATCACATGCCTCTGGAAAGACAGGTACTGCACTGCATCCACACCACTATGAGCTAGGAACTGTGAATCTCTTTAAAGAGAGGAGAAAAACAAAAAAACTCTGCAATGTTCAGCGTGACCACAAAATATCATGCATATCAAAGAACATCATACTTTGTTACAAAGATAGCTCGAATCCAAGAGAAAATGCCCCTGTCTCCAGAGGCTGATGGATCCACAATGCTGGCATTCTGGATCAGAGATTCATCATCACCATGACTCAAAGATGCTCCTCCGTCACCATCATCTTCTCCCCCATAAAATACATGAGTCCATCTGAGAAAGAAGAGTTTTCAAGATGTATTCATAATCCAAGTGTTCAATGAGTTGTTCACATCAGAATAAAATTTTTCAGAAAGAAAACTTTCATCAGACAGCATCAGTACAGCTAGGCACAAGACAGAAATATAGTTAACTCTGCATAATGGAATACCATTGCATGGTCCTGATTCATGGTACAACAGATAGTTTCAGTTTTTGGCATACCCTGGATTACGTAATAGAGTTCACTGGCCCCATGAGTATTCTGCAGTCAACATTACTTCCTTGGATATTTTGAGCATAAAATGCAATCAAACTTTAGGAAATCCATTTCTGCTCAAGAGAAATTTTTCCTGCAGTCATAATTTCTGAATATGGCTGAATATTAAAGATTTCAAATTGCAAAGTTCTTTAATGATGAACATATTCACAATATTTTGAAAATTTCAAATCCAGAACAAAGTTTGGTGTTATTTCTAAGATTTTACTAATAAACATGGTCAGGCTTTCGATGAATAAAGACCACCAAAGAAAAAGACCAATACAGTTAGAGTACTATAGATCTTGATAGTGGACAAAAAATATGGTCTCTAAGAGTGACTCCTTCAACAGGAGTTAAACAATTATCACAACAAGTTTTTGAACCAAAAAAAAAAGGAACAAAATTGTTCATACTAATTGAAGGCATCCATTAAGCCCTATGACAGGTAGAGTCCACACTTGAGGACAGAGGATGATAGGATGAAAGGAAATTTGTAAACAAGAGAGTTAAACAAAATTTTCATCAAAATGACAATTCATTGTAAAGCTCATCATTCCATGAGCCTATTAAATGTAAGTACAAGGGTCACTTGGAAAGTAATGCACGATGTTTTTTTCTCACTATATTTTGAAGCTAATTACATGAAATGCAAAGTCCATCAGGACTTTGCCATGAAGCACCTATTTTTCAACATTGTCACCATTACCAGCAACACACCTTTACCACCATTTGATAAGGGTATGAATTCCATCCTGAAATAAGCTCTTGCCCAGGTGACAAAACCATCTTCGAACTGCATTCTTCACATCCTCATCATTCTCAAAGTGATGTCCTCTGAGGCTGTTCTTCATGGGCCCAAAGAGGTGGTAGTCAAACAGTGCCAGGTCTGTACCACCAATTGGCATTGTGCCCAAGAGGTGATACACCTCTCATTCATCCACTTTCCTGATGCTCTCATCAGCAGTGCCAGTGCTGGGTTTTCCTGAGCATGCCTTGCCTTTGACACTCTTGTCTCCAGGTGTGAAGCAATTCAACAATTGTCTGACAATGTTGTTGTCAACATGGGTGTCACCATAAAAAACTTTCAGGCAGTGGTGGATATCTGCAAGCTTTACACCCTCAGAACAAAGAAATTCAATTACTACTCTCAGTTTTTCACTTACCTTCAGTGTGGCAGCCATTTTTGAACTATCACTGCTACCCCCCCATGGATATTTATCAAAATTGTGAATTTTTGTAGGAAAGTTCATAATTTCTGCTGAAAATCTTAAATCAACCCTAACATGCATACATTTCATTTAAAAAATCATTGTACATTACTTTCCAAGTAACCCTTGTAGGAGAGGGTAAAACCATGGATACAATGATACCAGCATCAATCAGTTCAATGCTGGAGATTTAGATAATTATCTGTGATATATTTTACCTTTATGATATCAGCTGCAGGGAGTGGTGTCTACATTGGCTTATGAAATGCAGATATTTTAGTTGCCTGGAAGAGATCAGAATTGGGGTTAGACCTGCATTTTCTCGGATCTGACAGAAGTTGGGAGGCATGCCCTATTCCATCATTAAATCCATTCATCCAGGTCTCAACAACAGGGAGATGTAATTGTACTGTGTACTGCATCACAATTTTGTGAGGAAGAGGCTGGAAGCACCTGTGCATTACTTTTCCAGAAAAAGGAGATACAAGGAGGTCCAGAAGCTAACTATGATTGCATGTGAGCATCTTTCTTTCAAGGAGCAGGGGGCATTCACATCAGCATCAATAGTGAAAGAACCTGCCAATGCATTGATACCTCACTTCTTCACCAAGATCCTGGTTGTTCAGAACCCTGATGGCTTCTGTGATAGAAGGCCTACAAGTCCAGAAACACCCTTAGGACTGCCATTTTTCAAAGTCAAAACATGCTTCTCAAAATTATTTTACTAAAGCCTTCATGAGTTTGCTAAAATAAAAATAAAAAATAGTAGGAGAAACACATCGAGGAAGATGATTATGTCTATACAAAATACATTTTGCAGCAAGCTCATGATTCCATACTCCAGATTGGTAATAAACAACATTTACTTATTGAATGCATTTTGTATAATATTACATCCCTAGTTTTGGTGATGTAAGCATGCAGCATTCATAGGGATAGAAGCAATCAGCAAGAAACGAGTTTCATTTTCAAGAGAAACGAGTGTGGATTCAGGAATTAGTGAACAGCCTGCTATCAATTTACTTTTTATGCCACTATCTCAATATTCAATTATTTTCATGATATTCCTTTGCTTGTGGGAGAAGTAGATCCCCTGAAATGAATTCAATCCATGCGTTGGTGTTCTTTAGGACCTGAGTAGTGCTTCTGACACCACTGGGAACCAGAATTACTTGACAAAGCTTACTTCTATGGTTTCAGCAGCAATATATAGATCTACTTCATGGGAAATACTGAACATGTTGGTTATGAGGGAAAGAAGATACACAGTCAAATAACTGTCATTCAATCTGATCCTGAAAATACAAGCTCATGGTGAATATGCAGAAAACAGTTCTAAATTAGCTCTGAGTACAGAAACCGACCTTTATCAGAATATTCTGGAAGTAAAACTATTTACAATAAATTAACACAAATTCACAAAAATCAAGTTAAATAACTTGGGTTTATCATAAATTGATTGACAAAGATGTACACAGGATGGCACATAACCCCTTTCTCCCATTAATAGGCTAACCTGGGCACACATTTTGATAGAAATTGTCTAGCCATATGGTTAACTTTTCATGTCATATATGAGTATGTGTTGTACTGGTTAATGTATTGGGTATTTCAGAAGATAAAAGGAACCATGATAGAGTCTGTGCCATCACAAGATAGGTGGAAAAATATAGCTTATATGTACAAGTAAACAAGAGCTTTATTACATGTGTCTTGAGGATCACTGAAGGTACACTTCATTGAAGTGAAATTTTCTCAGAAGTTTTAGGAGTCATCAAATATGCTATTTTAAATGGCCACATTTACAAAAAAAATAAGAAATAATAGCACACCCAGGCATACTTTATAAAACAAACATCAGGATCAAAAGGACCATATTGCGACATGCTTTCAAATGTGTTATATTCCTTGGAAGCCATGAAAGTGCTGCTTCTGAATCAAAATTTTCACCAGAAAGCCTGTCATAGCAGTAATTACCATAGTAGGCCTATCCGACATGACATACTTTTTATCAGTTCTCCTCAGCAGAGCCAAACGTCCATAATCCCAAGCTCTCTTTCGTAGAATTGTGAAGATCAGGAGTAGAACCTGTGATGAAAGCAATTGGAATATGGATAAGATTAGAGATACAATATGGCTGTATCAAAAGCTAGACTGGTCAACTGGTCAACAGAACATGATGTACATACCTAGAAAAAATAGGAAGTTAAGCTCACCAGCCAGCAGCAGAAGTTGATGAGTAGATTGGCAGGGATTCCAGCAAAGCCTTCATTGATATGAAATGTGTTGTTTTTATGATAATAAACATTGCAGTTCAATTTCACATCAGGTGGGCTTGTTTGTTCTTCCCGAAAGGCCCATGAATGAGGTCTATCTACCGAATCATTATCGCCAGGGTCCAAGGGTGGATCATCGAAAGGATTCTTCATGCTCTCACATTACTGATGACCCATAACAGAACTTGAAAGTGAATTATTATCCTGTGGACATCAACCAATGAAAGGTCACTTTATGAGGGTCCCCATGTTCTGAACAGGGTCTAGTAATAATTTACAGATAACAGCCATCAGACCTTCCTTTATGGAGTTACTTAAGGAGAGAATCAGAAAAGGATAGGATGGGATTACAGAGGTTGGCCCCTAAGCATGAAAGTGCATGGAGCCTACCACTCACTATTTTCAAATTCCACTTTAACCACCCATAGAAGAAACACCCCAATGAGCAGTACAAATTCAATTCAAAGCCATTGTAGAAGAAAAAAGAGTTACACAAGGAGAGGCATTGGAAAGTGGCTGCCACACATAACTCTTCATGTCATCACTATTTCAAAGAGGATTTGATCTGAAGGAGATCATAAGATGTATGATACAGGACAAGTTGTTATATGCAAAAGGTGGTAAAACTTACTCTTATGAGATAATAGAAATGAATCACAAGGGATTAGAACAAAATGAATAACACTTAAAAGGTAGGTGCTATATAAGAACATAAGCACAAACTAATTTGCAAATAATAACAATGGATGAGATCAGGTCCAGGAGTTGACACATGATGATACTGAAAAAAGACCTATTTTAAAACTTAATAGATAAAAAATCCAAAAAAAAACCTTTCTTCGTATCCTTTTTCTCAGCAGAATAGGTTAAGTTTGGCCTAGTGGTGATTTCATGTCATTCAGTTTGGTTCAAGACTAGTTTCAGTTTATCTCCAATAAATGGAAGTACGTAAAACCAAAGACAAATTATAGTTCCAGACCAGTCACTAAAACCTGGAGATAAACTAAACCTGAACCTGATTAAACTGGTCTTGAACTAAAAATACAAGTAATTTGCATCTGTACTCTAGATTTTTAAAATAAAATGTAAATGTCATGTGAAATCAATTAACAAATAAAGGTTTGTTTGTTGCAGTTAATTCTGACAATTTGTTACTGAGAAACTGAATGGCAATATTTAATCTGGCTAAGTTATAATAAAGCAGGCATAAGCTAAATTCACCTCCAATCTCAGTTAAATAATATAAATAGAAGTAGGCATTAGCTGAAACTGTAACTAAACTGAGAGACAAAAAACGACTGCAAGTCTTGGGGTAGGGTAGGCCCCTAAGGTATGGGATAGGGGGTTGGGATAGCTTGAGCTATGTTTCATTTTGGCATCATATTAAAGATGCTAGACCCTCTCATTGAAGGTAAATATACCTGGATATATCATACCAAGTTCAAGCTTCGGTCACGCAGTCATAGTTTAATTTAATTATTCTTCATGTTTAGTCCTGTTCTGCTTACAGTTAACCAAATCCGTCTGGTTAACTGAGTGTAAGTGGAGTCACCTGGAATCTCAATTGATTGGGATTCTTGTGTTATTATATATAATACACACCACACCCACCTCTCTAACCTAACCTGGCCTAACTTAAGGAGAAACACAAAATATTCCTAGGGAGTACAGTCACCTGGGCAACCCTACGCACTGCATATGATTAACTGTGTCCGATGGGCAACTGTAAGCGGAATAGGCCTATATTTACTCAATTCAGATCCTTCATAAGTCAACATAATATATTGGGGCCGAATATCTTTACATCTAAACTAGTTGAAGACAATTCACAGGTGAGTCAGACACGCTCCATACAAAAAGTGTCTCCGTCAGGGGTGTTTCAAAATTCAGTAATTGCAGTCATGCCACTGGGGAATGGGAAGCAAAAACTGGCTGCATAAAATAGACACTAAGTAAACTCACCAGACAAAAACAACCACAAGGACGAGCTATCTACAAGCAAAGCAGGAGAAGAAGGCCCCTAGCCCTTACGTCCAAACCCAGACGTCAGAGATTTAACTTAACATCACAGACTTGAGAATTAGCCTATGTCGGAGCCTTAAACGCTAAATCAGATGACATAAGTCAACGATTGCACGAATTCGAAGGCATAAACAGCATATTCAACTGTCATGAGTATGCCCTTTACAATGAAGGCTCACCTAATCACCCGCCGAAACTATCCCGTACAGGTCCAATGTAACTGTCCTTTCTCAAGCTCCTTGCGGCCCTGACCCTAGAAACTACAACTAGCACCATAGGCAAAGACGACGAGCAGCTAGGCAGGGTTGCGGGATGCCCCTTCTTGGTCGCCTCTTTTTTTATTTTTAATAGATCAGGGCTTCCAGATCGTGTCAGGTCAAGTCATTCGTATACTGCATAGGCGAGGAGATAATTAAGTAATGTTTTAAAATGAGTCAAGTGAACGAAAATAGCTAATGACTAGCACGCCCAAATCGCACTGGACTTGCACCTTTCTTCAGGATTCACCGAAGGAAAATGTGACATGGCAAACTCTATAGATATGAACATTCTTCTAAACTTTCTTCTGAGATGGTCACAGCTGCTCATGAATGAGTTTAATCAGAAGGCGCCCTTTGTACTCAGACCTTTTTTTAAGACTCCTTAATTCTGAAGATTTCCGGGGATGAAAAAGGGATCGTGTGGCACTGCCTGAAAATGGCTGCGCGTATCTGGACAGCAGAGATAATACCAGTTTTTTTTCGGCTGGGTTCGATACGATTTCAGAAGACTCCAACATACTTGCATTAAAAGTAGCATAGGATAGGCGTAGACATCGGAAAACGTGTCGGACTTGAATATAAGGGCACTGGTGCGACTGGTATTTGAACACTAGAGACATCTGTATACATATCAATGTCATTAAGATGAGAAGTAACTTAAGTTATGTTGGTGTCATTTTTTAACCTTAGAAAGCAATGGTTTGCGTGAAAAAGATTTGTGAAATCCTCTCTAAATGAGTATACTTCACAACTTGATGGTAGTGGAAGAGAGTGTACCGCGTAAATGAAATGGAAAATTCGATCTGAAGACAGTGTAGGGCTTGCATTCATTCCACATTCTTTTGGCGATGGTGAAGGAGGACGACTTGTCTGATCCATGAGGTCATGAATATTGAATTAATTTCTTAAGGTAAAGCTGAAGCAGACTACATGAACTGGGGTGGCAGGGGGGGGGGTGTAACGTTACAGTGAAATGCCCAAACAAGAAAGCAGACAGCCAAATACAACGAATGTGTGGAACGTGTACGAATTTGGTAAACTGAAATGCTGAATCCCCTGTTGGCCTTATGTTGAATACACTGACTATAACCTAATCTCTTAACTATGGTTACCATACGTCCAGTTTTTCCCAGACACGTCCTCTTTCTTCTCTTTCTGTTGGGGAGGAAGGCATCCCAATGGGTTACCATATAACTGGATATTTTCTTGGACATGTTCTTATTTGCCTTCAAATCCCCATCCGACTGCTAGGCGTCCTCTTTTTGGCTGTCTGAAATATGGTAATGCTATTCCTAGCTCAGACAGATAGGTGACTTCACAAAGTAAGGACTCAATATAGTCTACAGGCACATACAGCTTCAGCTTTAATGCTATCAATGATGAAATCCAGAGGAATAGGTGTACAATATGCATTACCAATTTCACTTCTAACCTGGAAACAGGAGTGGCTTTGGTCAGAAAAAGTTCCTTCCCTTCATTCCAAAAGCAGGTCTTTGGTACATCATGGGACCTGCCTTTTCTGTTTTGTTCAGTCCCTATGTACGGTACATGAATAGGGCTATTTAAATAACAAAGACTTTTCAACCCATATCTAGATGATTTCAATCCATGTTTCCTTACCAGTGTAAGAAGGTGTAGACTCTTTCTAGTCTCTTTTGAGTGTCATATCAGTAGAACTGGTGCTAATTGTTCCATACTTCTGTCTAAGAACACAGCCCTCACAACTCTGCCTATCAGCAGATATGGTACATGGAGTCTCCTGGAAGTATTTGGCCAAAAACTAAATCCATTGACCTGAGCATCAGGCTGATTCTGAAAGGCATGGAATAATGTCCTTCCAATGTGATAAGCCAGTGGACTTAAAGATTGCAGGTTGCTGTCAAGAAGGGGAACAAATTGATGATGTTCTGTGAATAGTTGCTGTTAGTCTGTCTCATTGAAATTCAATGGACTCTGTGAGAAATTATTCAATCAGGAAATGAAAGACTTTGCTTTGTAGAACTTTTCCTTTCATGGGTTATGAATCAAAGCTGGAGTTCAATACCACCCAGATACAGTGGAAACTCAATGACTTGAACTTTAAGGGACTGAGCAAATCGTTTCAAGTTATCCAGTGTTCAACTTATCGGAAATCTGCTCTAAGAAAAAATGTCTCACGTTAAGGGATGTAACCAAAGGATGATTTCTCCATCCTCATGAATCCAATTTCAAGAAGTGATGACCTTTTCATTATCATTGATTTTATTCATCTGTACAGAAACTTCATAATTTATTTGCAAAATGTTAAAATCACAATTCCCTTCAACTGGTACTCTTTCAGTTTTATCCTTAGCTGGAATGAAATCAATCATCTTCATTTGATTTTTAAAGGAATTAGCAATAGAGAAGTGGAAGTCTTTCAATTTGCTAATTGTCTCAAACAAATTGACTGGCACTTCCCCTGTAGGAGGAGGAATTTTTTCATAACTGACAGTACCTAATTGACATTACTCAAAGATGGTAGCATTGTATTTTACCTCTTGCTCTCTATCACTCCCATCCCCGAACTCACTCGTGAGCAATCTCTGATGTCAGTAATGATGGATGTCTCATGACTGAACCAGTCACAGAAGTTTCATCCTTTTTAACCATATTAAAAAAATCAATAAGTCCCACAAAAATAATTTTTCCCTCCTTCATGCCCTGAATTTGAGTTAACTTTGAATTAAGTATGAAAAAATTGTAATCAAGTATGAAAATGTGGTTTGAGATATTGGGAAATTCAAGTTTAACAAATTATTTGACATGGTGTCCTATAGGATTCTGCCAGGACCAAGCTTTGAACTTTGAGATTAGTGGAATTTTGGATTATTGGGATTCAAGTTGATGAGTTTCCACTGTACTTTGAGATGGGAATTTGGCTGTTTTTGGATGTTTTTGGATCAGATGGGAATTTGGATGTTTTTGGATTAAACAAACCACTGCTTTTGATGCTCACTTTTTTGAGAAATTGCCATTTGTTTAATCTTCAGTTGCAGTAGGTCTGCCTGAATTGGCTGTGTGACTAAACAGAATTGAGATTTATCATAAGATTATCCTGAGTCAGATTTCAAATGTATTCCAACCAAAAATATTTGAAGATGTGAACATTTATTTTTATTTTTTTAAGTTTCCTTTTGCTGAGATTATGAGGATAGATACTGGGTGATGTTCATCAGTTTGATATGGCTTCAGTGTATAACAAAAAAATTTTTCCCTCAAACCTGAGGCAATAAATCAGAACTTCCTGGGAAGGATATGCAAGTGGACTAGGCTGGCCCTGCCTGCCCATGCATCTCCATTCACATGAACCTTCTTTGCATGTTTGCAAGGGTTTTCTTAATCTGTATGGCTTCATAATGGGATTTCATGGATTAGGACTCAAGGCAGTTGAATCGATTCTTATACAAAATTGGAATTGAATTAGTTGAATTAACATTGAAAATTTTACATCTGTTCAATTATTGAATGATCTAGTGCATGGCACCACTTGTCAAATGGTTATTCCTTATCAATTCAAGTGAAAGAGTTCCACCTTGTTACTTGGGAGCCACCATCATAACAAAATGTTTTAGAGGTTGACTGCGGCCCATGAAATGTTCAACCCCCTTAGCATAAAAATGTATTCAATCCTTAACTTGAGCGATGGATTTCTGAATTCCAGATTTTTTTGTTTGGGATGTGATTGAAGACCTCCCGTTTGTGAGTATGCCACTGAAAAGACAGTTGGCTGATGTTCACCTTCTTCACTGGAAGTGCAGCCGGAATCAACTTCTCAATATACCCCTAAATAGCACCAGAGCACTATATCTTGGTGCAGCTTCACGTTGAAAGGCTGGAAATAATTAGGAAATAATCTTTGAATTCAGAACATCACAACAGACAGGATAACAGGAGGTGACTCAAGGAGTAGATGAGATTCAGTTGACTACCATGGCATCTGCAAGATCTGCAGCCCTGACTGTTGACATCAGTGAAAGGAACCCACAAAATGATTATGAACTCATTCAACGTGTGGGTTGTGGAACTTATGGAGATGTCTACAAGGTATGATGATAAAAATGGTCTGAAAGTAATTATGACTGCATGCATGTTTTTTCTTAGCCCTTTTGCTCATGCTCTACTCAATTGGGCAAAGGGGCTGAAGACAGTTTAAATGAATTTAGGCTTGTTTCACCCATAAATTCATTCATGAAGCACTTGTCCTGAAGTAGGGGATCCATCCAAACATAGTACATCAGTTGTCTAATTACAGCTGATATTGTCATGGAAAAAAATATTGAAACATGGAATGACTGAGATTAGTAATAGTTTTTTGCTGTTAAGAGATTATCCTCTTTAATCCCAAGTATTTTCTTGTACAGAACATTCTCTTCAAGTATTGGTTGCACCATTAAGGGTCTTTTTGAATTCATTTCTAGTGGCTTGTCTGGCTTACTTCTTACATTTACTCTTACAGAGAACTGGACTTCTCACTCCAATGAATACATATTGAGTAATATGTAAAAATTCAAGTGTCCAGAATTCTGAGCACTGGGATTAAAGAGGATGTGAAGCTGGAAAATTAACAGAAAATAATTCATGACTGCAAAGGTTAATCTGCTAGGCCTGATTTCCTATGGTAAACACGGCACTAAACTCTACATGATGGGAACATAAAATCTTTTTACTCAAAATTTCAAAGTGGGCATGCTATCTGGTTTCCTGGATGGATTGAGGCACATGATCAGCATTTGTCAATGTTATATGTCAACATGTACATGTTTAAGCTCTTCATGCCCCAATCAGTATTATGTTTCAAATTATGGAAACCTAATATCTAGTGACATACTATGCATAGCTTCATCTTTGAGGCAAAATGACCTGAGCAAGCTTTTTTTTTTGTTTTTTTTGTTTTACCAAATTGAGTTGACAGATTTTCTTAAAAGCACAAAAATTAGACAAGTATGGATTTTGATGGCTCTGTTTTGTGGAAAACATATTGTTATATTCAGACCAATAAAGGAAAATTGATCCCATGGTCTGCCTCCAAAGCAGTGTGCTTCTGGACATTTGGTAGAACACAATCACCATTCTGTGGAGAATATGTGCATATGAAAGCTTTGTTTTACAACAGGGAAATATGTGTAGGTCTAGTCGTATATCATGCAGATCATTAACTTCATGTTCCAACTCAGAGTTTTAGAGTGTCATTGTTTCTTACTCTGCATTTCATGCTGCTGCTTCTTTTGTTTTTCTTTTTCTTTAGGCAAAACACATTGCCTCAGGTGACTTTGCTGCTATCAAGATTATGAAGCTTGATCAAGGTGAGGATTTCAGAACCAAAAATTGAATTGGAAATGCTGTTCATTTTTGCTCTGGAAGGTGTTACATCTTTTTTTCTGCAGGAGAAGATTTCTCTGCAATGCAAATGGAAATCAAGATGATGAAGGAATGTAGACATCCCAACATTGTAGCATACTATGGAAGTTACTTGAGGAAAGGGAAGCTATGGATTTGCATGGAATATTGTGGTGGTGGTTCTCTTCAAGACATCTACCATGTTACTGGACCATTGACAGAGCCCCAGATTGCTTTCATATGTCGTGAGACCCTGAAAGGTTTGGAGTATCTGCACAGTAAAGGGAAGATCCATCGGGACATTAAGGTGGGGCTTGTAAATCTGAATGAAAATGACAGCAAGATTGGATTGGGATAGGGGATAATCCTCACTTTTGAGTTGTTTTTTTTTTCAGGGGGCCAATATCCTTCTGACAGAGACTGGTGATGTTAAGTTGGCTGATTTTGGTGTATCTGCTCAAATAACTGCAACACTTAGCAAAAGGAAGTCCTTCATTGGCACTCCATATTGGATGGCACCAGAGGTCAGGTCATTTTCTTTGGTAGATAATAAAATCTTGGATGAGAACATTGATGGATCATCACTCAATTGCTTTGATAATTACTTTGAAGGTGGCTGCAGTGGAGCAGAAAGGAGGCTACAATCAACAATGTGATATTTGGGCATTGGGTATTACTGCCATTGAACTAGCTGAACTTCAGCCTCCTATGTTTGATCTCCATCCAATGAGGGCTTTGGTCCTTATGGCTAAGTCCAGTTTCAAGCCTCCAACTTTGAAGGACAAGAACAGATGGTGAGGAATATGAAACATAGAAAAGTGAAAATATTGTGTGTTTGTGTTTGGGAATTTGAACACTGGATTTCTCTTTCTTCAGGTCTCCTGAGTTTCAGAACTTCATCAAGGTGGCTTTGACAAAGAACCCTAAGAAGAGACCTACAGCTTCTTTGATCCTCACAGTAAATTTTCAACATTCCTTCCTGTCAATTCTTTTGAGGCCAGGACTTTGAGACAGTTGGGTTTCACAAATGCACCAGTTTGTGTGACACAATGGCATTAAGTTGTGTTAACTTCTCTGTAGAGCTCCATGTCATGTTTCTGTTATTTTCATTTCTCTTGACCACTCTCATTTTCTCTACTTGCCTGTAGTGGTTTTCAACAACTTAATTATTGGCATTTGAAATCTAAAAAAGGGGGAAACAAGGTCCACTACCCTTAATCTTCATTGATTTTAGAAAACATCTAAAATTAAGCACTAAGAATAATTGTTTTCTTTTCTTTTTCTCATAGCATGCATTTCTTCAGGGTAGTCATTTGAATAAGAACAGAAGCATGGAACTCCTCCAAATGGTGAACTCTCCCCAGCAGCTATCAGACTTGGAGCCTGACCCTGATGAAGAAACTGTAAATTACTCATTTTTGATCAGTTGCCTCCTAAGTGTATCTAACTTCCATAAATGCTTAACTTTAAATCAATATCCTCAGGTTGTTGCCAGTGTCCCACATCGAATCACTTCCAAGCGTTCAGCGCGGGACAAAGAGAGGACAAGATCAGAACTGAGAAGTGAGTGTATAATGTAGGAGGTATATTAACTCAGCAATGCATGGATCATCTGACTGATCACTTGGTGACTTTCATTTCAGTGGGAAGCTTGAATTTTGAGCCACCATTGGTGACTGAGTTGTCTGCAGAGCCACCACCAGCCCGATATCCCAATGCTTGGGGGATTGGTGCCTCTCAAGATACAAGTGCCCCACCCAACAATTGCAAGGTGTGACTGAAAGCTTTATGTCATGCTAAACCTGTGATTTTTGTCTTGTCCCTTTTCCACCTAGTATCTTTCCATGTGATAGGAAAATCAAGATGAAGAAGAAGAAGGATTTGACATTGCTACTTCATGGATGGAGAGTGATGGAAATAAGGAGGAAGTCCACAAGTAAGTCCCTTGACCCTCATTGGTTCTCCTATTCTCCTTCATTCTCTTGCATCCAGTGCTTTATAATCAAATCCATTGCCATTTCTGTCATTGTTCTGTTTTTCCTGTTAAATTTGCATCACTCAGTTACACTGAATGTTATGATCCACAACTACTGATGGGATGATTGAATGAGCCATTGATGCAAGTGGCATTGCTCTTTGATTCCTTCCCCAGGACGCTCTTGCAGTATATTGATGAAGAGTTAAGAACAAGGTATGAGAAATGTGATGAGTCTGTCTGCTTCTGTCTCACTAACCCAGAAGCTTGCTTTGCATTGAGTCCTTTCACCAGTATTCACTAAAACCCTCTAACCCTACTTAAGCACTTGCTTGGATATTGCATGAGTGAATGCTCCATGCATTATGCTTTGGTCTGGATATGTATTAAGCTTATAAACTTTTTCATGTTTCCTGAAAGTGATGTCACAATGAAGACCAGTATGGGTAATGGTTTAGACATTTTTAATTTTCAGGAAATATATTTTTCAGTATTTTCTCTGCAATATAAAAAATGACCAACCTAGCATTATACAGTAGGTTTTATGAAGCATCTAACAAGACCCCACCTGCCAGTATATTCTGGAACTCAATAAAGAGAAGTAATCCCCAAACATAGCCACTCTTTCAAAATGCCCCCATCACCATGGGGGTCATTCTGTGTCAAATCAACACACTGAGGACTTTTTCAGGTGACTCCTTCTGATTTGGATGAAATTTGGTGTACTTATCAACAATGGTAAGAAACTAACTCACACCAAATATTGGGTTCATTAGACCTCTGGTTTCTCTGATATGAGGTCATAAAATCCATAAAATCCATAAAATTTGAGGCTGAAATGCCTGATTCTTGTTCACCAATTCAGTCTCCCCCATGAAACTTCTGTCCTAATTAAGCTAGAGAGCTCATCTTAGCCTTATTTTTTTAGTTCTTTTTCCAGCCCTTTCCATTGGTATTGATACAATTTGGTGAATACTAAAAGTTATCATTTAGTAAGGAGGTCATGTTGATGACCTTTGACCTCACATTATCAAAAACAAACCCCTTTGATTTTGAAAAGAATTGGGTAAATAGTAGACAAGACATATGGCTACCTCTGGAAAACATTTAAACTTGGGCACTTTTTAATTTTTGGAGATAATTACAATATGATAAGGTACAGGGTGCAAGAGGATCATGGCCTATGACTGCACCCTAACTCTGGAACACCAGCTAACCCATCCTCCCATTTATACCCCCCTACCCCCCCCCCCCCCCTTGTAACATCAGCAAACATGAGTAATCATCAGCAAACATGGGCCAAATTGAGTCTCCCAAGGCGGGAGACTCAATTTGGCCCATGCACTTATTCTGGGAATACACTATCCAGGGTTTGGCCTTCACCATTGGGGATCTTTATTGTCCCACATCCTTAGATGGGAGTGCCAAGTGCTTAGGGGTCTCCCTTCCCAAGCATGTTGGGGCTTGCACTTGGAAATAAACAGGACCTGTTTGGGTTTAAACCTGCATACCCTGCCATGGGAGGCAAGCACATTATCAACCAAGCCACTGGCTCACTGGCTTAGAGCTGTTTGCATGAAATCCATTAAACAGAATATACTCTGCTTCATCATTGGGACCCATGGGAATGCATTTAACTGAGTCAAAATTATTTTAATTAAATTTCATGTAAAAATGAGCCCTTTAAATTTGATTATATTTCATCCATACTAATGCATGCATGTAGCATTGCACCTATATAAAAGAAGGTTTTATTATAATGCTTGGAAGTGCAAAACTGCAGCTGTCTTTGTGGCATGGCTTCACGATATATATGAAGCTGGTCAAAATGATAGCTGAAAATGCTGAGCACTGCAAAAAATAATTATGTTGTTCTTCATAATAAAAAATAATAATGTACTTTTAATCAGCATTAAACCTAATTCTATTTTTTAAATGCTTATTGTACAAAAGACCAGACATTGGCTACTTACCTGTATTTTTGAAAGGCTAATTCTAGCATCATTTGTGACATGTAAAAGTGGTGCACAAAGGTACTTTGCATATGTTCTTGAGAAATTGAAAGACGATTAGAAAATTCTTGTTCATTTCCTTCATCCACAGAGTCCAGCTCCTTCAGCTTCTTATCCTCACAAATCTGATGAGCCAATTGTACATCATAGTCAGGTCCTTTCACTTATTAACCGCTTTACAGAAACAGGACATATATACAAAGTGTTCAATGTAGAGATGATGCATGCTTTGGTATGTCTTCATATGAACAACCAGTACAGAGAATTTACCTTCAAGATGCTCTTTGGATGTGGTTCTATATGACTCTAGTTTTGATTTTTCTTTATTGTTCTATGCAATCCATGAAAATTTAAAAATATTTATTAACTTTAAAGATGAAAATATTGCTGGATGCAGGTGTGTTAGTCGCAATCAATTATACTCTCTTTTGTAGTTATCTCAAGAACTTCTGGAGAGCCTGAAATAAAATTTAACATAGAGGTAGCTACATATCTTGCCTGCAAGCCATTCTAATTTTTTGTTAAATCTAAAATGGTTGTTTTTGGTAAATATGAGGTCAAAGGTCATTATGATGACCTCCTTATTAAAAGTTTACTCTCAGCACTTATTCAAACCCTAGTCACATGTTTGAAAAGAGCTTTCGAATGAGCCCAAGAAGAAGTCTAACTCAAATGGAACAGAAGTTATGAGGGGAAGACTGTAACATAGTGCAGAAAGAAGGCATTTTGGCTCAAATTTTCATGACCTCATAACTGAAGAACAAGAAGTCAAATGAACCCTATAATTGCTGTGAGTCACTTTCTAATAGGTACAAATAAGCCTGCCAAATTTCATTCAAATCAGAAAATGTCACTTTTTAACACTATGTTGATTTGATACTGAATGAATAGGTTACTCTCAGTCATATAATCTCTGATGTCTCTTTCAGATTTTGGGAAACAGTGCAGCAGCAAACTATACTTAGGTGGTATTAATTGCACTGGTGCAGGTTCTTCACATGCCATCTTTCATAAAATATGGGTGATTTTTCAGTTGGCAATGAGTAAATGTCAGTGTTGGTGCAGCCTTTTTGCTATTAGATGCATGAAATTAATTATTTGTTCCAAGCAGATAATACAACATACATTGCATATGTGACCATCTCTCCTATCAATAGACTTATCACTTTGAGGCTTATAAATACATTATATTCTAGCTTCCTTCCAACTTTGGCATCGGCTCAACTGCAATCATGTATCCTTGAGACATTTTTTAAACTGCAGCATGAAGTGGGGGTGAGACAAGTTCTTGTTAGCTGTGACTATAAATGATAAAATGTCAAATCCAGAGTTCAACTCTCAAAACATACATGGCATGGCATGAGTCACTTAGGAAAGAAGTATCTACACTTCCACAATTGTAGTTCACAGAGTAAAAGAAAGATTGAGATTCTTCACACCATGCAAGTTTTCACAAGAGAGACCTATTCTCCACACATTCTTTTATAAGCACGCTGCAAAATTTCTGTGTGCATATTTTTAACATACCTTCTTGAGTGATACTCTTTTTTTTTATTACAAATATTCATGCTGGGAATTTGTTTATGGTTTAAAACCTGTGGTTGTGCAAGTGAACTTATTTCTAAAATACTGGAACACTGAAAGAACCAAGAAAAAAGCAACACCAAGTTTTACAGAGAACAATATCATTTATGGGATGGGATCAGTGACTGGCATATCCCACTGGGCATCTTAGGTTTGAACACTGCCAGCAACTGTGTAATTTGATACCAGTGAAAACAACCCTGCCATAACTATTATGTGTTTCATTATAAAATGTCTTCATTCACTGTATCACACTTAAGTTTTGTCTGACTAGTGGATTATCTGGGAAAATACGCTATTAGCCTGTTATATAAATCTCGACAACTCGAATTTCTCTCTAACTCAAAGTTACTGTGTTTCCCGGCGAATGTCTCCTAATGAGACTTTCGCTTAAAATGCATTGTCATGAGTCTCATCAGGGCAATGCGTTTCCCCCCTCTATAACTCGTAATGTTCCAAGACCTTGATAACTAAATTAATTGCTCTACTTGTTATATTTTTTCCGTACAAATACACGGACGAACATTGATATCTGGGTCATTACATCAACTAGGCAGTGTGCTCGACCATCGCGGATTTACGGATAAAAACTCTTAAGCGATTGCAGTCAATCCAACAACCCAGGAAAAAAAAGTAATCGCCGCCATTGGATCTGCGATTAGCGAGATGTCGCCTCCGAAGCTTTGGAGGAAAACGGAAAACCCCATAGACGGCTAAATTTCCATCTCAAGAACGGTTCATCGTACGAGGGCGTACAATAAATTAAACTGGAGCTCTTTCATTGATGGATGATTCGCTCCATACATGCTCGGAGTTTGAATGAAACTTCAGGGTCATAGTTGGGTTTGAAAATGTGAAAATTAAAGTCATTTTTACCCCCAAACATCCTTATGTGGCGAGGGAAAAGACAAATCTCTTGTTACGGTATGCTTCACTCCTCTCTCAGGTGCATCGATAAAGCAAGTTATGTATTTAACGTTTTGTCCGCAACATAGCACCTCAAAATTGGAATTTTATCTTTTTGATAATTTTCAGTCGAGTATTTTTCAATGAGGCGGAGCACTTTAGGTATTAAGCGTGGTGTCATTAGAAAGGTGAGCTTGAGATTTTTCCAACCATATATGTTTTGCCGTGCCTTTTATGGGAATTTTTTTTTTATTTGTAAAAAGTTGCATATTCCAAAAATTCACTTTTTCTTCAAGTGGCACAATATAGCCCAGTGATATATTGCTAGAAATATATTTCAGAACTCTATACGGTGTCTTGAGCAAATCGCAAATATGCAAGTGAATTCATCATTATGAGAGCCAAAATGTCACTCAACCTCGATGTCTCTAAGCGTCGATTAGTGAGCAAAACGTGTACTGCAAAGAAAATCAGCATACCGACAAACTGAGCCAAAAGCATCGCATAGAACTCTGAAAAACCTTTTTAGTATTATAAGTTTATTATTATTCCGGAAGCCGAGATGGTAGGGCGCCATTTTATATTATAATTGGTTTAGTTCTTGTGGAATGATCAATTTAACTACGATTTCTGCAGACCTGATTATTCCAAGAATGCGATGATTCACGCCTTCGGTTCCCACTCTGATCAATTGGAAAAGTCAAGACTGCAATGAGTCACGAGGTATTTGCGCCTGCATTTTATCAGTATCCCCCCTGCTGTCAACTAGTCAGTCCGTGTCCGTGAACCTCGCCGGTCAAGCATGACTGCAGTATAATGCGATTGAAAATTTGCGGAGCTTTGTTGAGGTCACGTTTGGGTTGGCACGGGAGACATTCAACGCAATCGTGCATTTGAAAAACATTCTCAAGCATGAAGGTGTCGCGAAAAAATGTACAACTCAAAAGCTGCCAAGCCTAATTGACACCATCACTTGGCTTCGCAGGGCTCATTCATTTCAATGACCTCACTCCCTCCAAGGGTGTTGTCAAACGGCAGTTGCCTCATTTCCTGAAAGGGTAGTGTAGAATATTGATTCTAACTTGGGTTTTCGCAAAACTTGATCGATGGCATCGTTGGTTATATCGGGCTCCACAAGGCATTGGCAGGCAGAGATGGAAAGCTACAAAAAATTCGTGGGTGCGCGCTTGCGATGATAGAACTTGACTGTGCTGGAAAAACTATTGAAAAGAAGGAAGGCATAAGACGCCGAGATGACCTGAGTCACCTCAGCGTGGGGTCAGGTAGAGCAAGAAATAGGTTCTTTTTTCTTCTTATTTTTTACTCCGCCATCTGTCTGTTACGGAATTGGTGCTACGGAATAGATTTCGAATCATGCAGAATTCACCTACAGGCCTAAAATATTCGTCCGTGGAAGTTTCCGTTCTTCCTTCTCTACTCGCATCTATCAGTGAATATATAATTTGCCGTCATCAATGCTACATCGATGGTTCAGGTAGACGCGTGGATGTTCGCAATACTACAGTGATTTTCCATTGATTGCATCCCCCCTACTGCGGCGGAAGCGGTAATTACTTTTTCCTATTTCAATCACTGATTTAGCCAGGGGGAAGTCATTATGATACCGCAGATGTCGCCTAGTGGCGCCATTCAGAAGGGGGGGAGGGGGGATGCCGTCAATTGAAAATCACTGTACCATCGTAACAGCTCTAATTCTAACATCCAGATTCACAGTAACCAACGTGATGCCTGACGTTCAATGGAAAGACCTGCGCTCGGCAGGTGTCTGCAGGCATACTGTATTGACATCGAGGGAAAGTCACTCATCACGCACTAACATAAAAATCTGATGTCGGCAGAACAAAGTAGCGGTTCGTAGATTTGAATCGAAATATCTGATATCGGGCCCGATACCAATATTGATATGAAATCGTTACATCCCTAGTTATAAATGATAAATTAGCGGTTGCTCCAATCACATCAATAATGTGGGGAAGTATAAATATTGAAAGTCTGAGGCCATCTTTTTTACCCAGTGACAAATTTAAACTCCCATGTTTTGCCCCACCTTTGCTGTGATACCTATGATTTTGGCCATGTACTATTCCTTTACATTCTCCATTTAAATAGGGATTAGAAATTAATATAACTTCAACCTTTTATCCTCTCTCTTCAGTTTTCTGTACAGAGTGAGGAGCAATTGTGATCAGCATAGGATCAACAGCTTTTCTGACTGGCACATGTGGGAAAGAGTATTGGTGGAACCCTTATGGATACTAAAACATTTGCTATGGGATATAGAAACAGGAGCTGTAAATTAACTACCTTTATTGGTAACATTCTTGTTTTTCAATTGTGTGCTTTTTTTTCTTCCTTCCATTCTCTTTTTCTCCTTAAATATGTCAAATATGAGGTGTTGGTGTCATGTTGTTCATACATGCTGCAGAATTTCTATGGGCCTTGTTTCTATGAAAATTGCACTAGTCACTATGCATAAAGTGACTTTAGTGACATTAAGTCCCTGAACTAGCAAATCTAAGAGGAAAGATCCAATGATTGATGTGTGGAATTCCCTAATTTTACATATACTCAAGTCTTTCACTGTTTGATTGCAGGGGTCTTCAGAAGAAACTAATGGAGTATGATGATGAGACTTTTGGCAACACGTATGTGTAGAATTGAGTCTTTTTCTTGTGTTAATGGATGTAGACATATTCAAAATGCTTCTGTTGAATCTTTCTCCAGTGCAACACTTCCAGTGGGTGAAGACATGAATGGAACTCAAAGCTCTTCACCTAGCCCCAAGGGGCCTCCTAAACGAAGTAACAGCATTGGGGGTGATGATTCGCCTTCTCATGCATCTCCCATCACACAAGGGCTTGATGTATTACATCTTGATCAACGAGCTCTTTCTGATTCTGAAAATGGTAAGTGTTATATTCTTTAGTAAAATTCATGTGCAAAGGATCCACCTTCCATGTAGAGCTCCCTGGTCTTATAGATACAAGGAGGAAACCAACACCTCCACCTCGAGAAAAAAGAGAGCGCCGGCGCCCAACACCTCCTCGAGTGACAGCAAGCAATGGACTTCCCCCAACGCCAAAGGTCCACATGGGAGCAGGCTTTACCAAAGTCTTCAATGGATGCCCTTTGAGATTTCATTGCTCCTGCAGCTGGGTTCACCCTACCACTCGCAATCAACATATCTTGTTTGGGGCTGAAGAGGGGATCTACACGCTCAATCTGCAGGAACTCCATGAAGGATCCATGGATCTCATTTATCCTAGGAAGACAACATGGCTGTTTGTTATCAAAGATGTCCTCATGAGCATTTCAGGTGCAGGACTGCATTTCATTCAGGCAGAGTACACTGGTGTAAATGCCTCTTGTATCTATAACAATCCATTATTCTTCTTGCAGGGAAAACTCCTCACCTGTACAGCCATGACCTCATTGCTCTTCACAATCGTCACTCACAAAAGTTCACTTTGACACTGCACATAAATCGTATCCCAGAGCGATTTGTCCCAAAGCGATTTGCACCCACACTCAAAGTCCCTGAGACAAAAAATGTCTATAAATGCTGTGTGAGCAGAAACCCATACAATGGCTACACATACCTTTGTGGTGCCATTCCAAATGGAATTTTCCTCATGCAGTGGTATGATCCTCTGCACAAGTTCATGCTTCTCAAGGTGAGCAAGGCATTTCAAACTGTGGGATTCTTCTGTATCAAAATCCCATTAAATTCATTCATTCTTTTTAATGTTCTAATCTTCAGACTATAGAATGCTTCCTGCCAGTCCGTTTAAAGGCATTTGAGATGATCATTACTCCTGACTTGGAATATCCCATGGTTTGTGTGGATGCCCGAAAAAGTGGAGAACCAGATCGTTTAAAGCTTGACTTAGTCAATCTGAATTCCACATCATCTTGGGTGACTTCGAGTGAACTTGATGATTTGGATGGAGCAGGTGAATAATCATTCATTCATTTTGCTTCATTGTATTAAGAACTTGACCATGCTCTAATGTTTGCTTCAGAGACTGTGATTCCTCGTGTAGAAGGGCTGCACCTGAAGAATGTGACCCAGCTGGACAGGGACACAATTCTCGTGTGCTATGATAACCTGGTGCAAGTGGTTGACATGGAAGGACAGCTGAAGACCCGGACTGGTGGACCAACTGAACTGGCATTTGATTTCCATATTGATAACATTGTGTGTCTGACAGACAGCATTCTTGCCTTCCATAAGCATGGCATGCAAGGGCGCAACATCAAAACCTTTGAAATTACCCAGGAAATCACAGATCCATCACACATTTTCCGACTACTTGGACATGAGAGGTAAGAACCATTATCACCATGATGCAAATTGTTAATATCAGATATGCTATAACATCAGCACATGGTATTGTTTTCCAGAAGTGTGGTGGTGGAGAGTCGTGCAATTCCACAGCTAGACCCAACATTAACTGGACAGACACCCAGTGAAGATGGTGTGAACCTGTACATATTGTTGGGACATGAGAACACCCTCTGAAATGTACCGGTTATCACTTGTCTTCTGCTTTCTCCATTTCTATGCTGTGATTCACTCGTCTTTCTTCTCCTTCCTGAGTCCATACCTGAAGGGACCAGCAAGACTTTGACCCTGTCTGAGCAAGATCTGGTTCTTTTCCCAAGCTTCTATGCCTGAACAAGAATCCTTTGATGCTGTGTATGCAGTACAAACTCCCCTGCTGAATAGCCACATTTGATAGTTGCCACATATTACCCAAAAGAAAAAAAGAGTAGAATTTTCAAGTGATCATCTGTTATTCATTGAGGGATTTTCTCAAGTAAATCAGCATCCTCATGTCATTAGTTTTACAGAGGCATTAATCTAGAAATAAGTCATAAGTCTGACAATTAGAAAACTATACTGTAAGTTGCAAACAATTTGCCTGTATCATTTGTCAGAGTCAATCATTTGTTAATTATCAAGGGTTTGCTCAATCATGGTATGTGCCATTCATCCAGGTGTAGGCATTTTTTGTTCCAGGGATGTAGTCTACTTCTGCCTAACACCCAAAGGTATGGTAGCCTAAGAATTTGGCTTGAAATTGATTGGGGATGGTGGCCATAGAGGACATACGAATCTTGCTGTTGCTCATATAATGCATACCACTTTGCCAGCCAGTGATTTCAATTGCTTGATACATAGCATATTGTCTCTGCAGAAATGCTGAAGACATACAGAGCTTTCAGAATGTCAAGCACCAGCCCTTCATTCCCTGTTCTTTGGAACCACTGTCTACGTAAGGACTTTTAGTATATTGTCTATACCCATTCACAAACTTTCATTACAAGATCTGCTACTATATTGGGCTTTTCAAATGGTGCAGTTTTCTGAAAGCCCTGTACAAGAGTTCTACAAGATAACATCCAGACCATTCCAGCCTAGTCATTACCTTCATCCATTCTCCATTTTCTGAGGTGCTTTTCTTGTTCCTTCAATCACCTCCTAACTTTATTCTTTTTTTGTTTATATCAGTTTCTGTGCGTTGCACATGATTCTTGTCATGCCCCTTCTTTTCACCAATTGAGAAATATTTTTATGCCCTATCAATCATGGAGGAAATCTTTCCTTGTGAAATGAGAGCTTTCATTTGTGAAGATGAAAGTGAGTTTTTTGAATGCAATAAAGTTGAACTTTTCCAAGAAGTGCAACTAAACTTAACACAATTCAATAAAGTTTATTGCGCTGTAGACAATGCTGCAGTTCAGTGAATTAAGAAATTAATTAATCTACATGGAACTCTTCCCAGATATTTGAACAGAAATGTCACATTCCGAAGGAGAGATCTGAATACTGATGCACATGCACCAGGAACATCGCCAACACTCCTGAGAACTTGTTTTTTTTTTTCCCCCTTTGCAGTGAAACCTGTGGATTCGGCCACCTCCTATTTGCGGTCAGATGTGCTCGGTCCCAATCGTTTGGCTCAATGTTAAAATAACCTGTTTTATCCGGCAACTTGTCTAACGCGACCAGCGGCCAAGTATTTGTAGACCCTCTGTGCTGGACACTCTTTAATCCGGCCAGAACACAGGAAGGAAAGAAGATCGCAGCTTCATTACCTTCCTCTTTTTTATTTCCCTGCCTTGCAGCTTCCTTCCTTTCTTCCCTCTTTTCCTCCTTTTCGCCTCTTTCCCCTCCCTCTCCCCAATCCCCGAACGGACCCGTCGCTTGGTTGTCAAGGTCACATTCCCAGAGTTTCGATAGCGAAAGAACCATCTCCCTTTCTTAAAGGCCATCAATTGCTACGGAGAAGCTGAGGTTTTTTTGGTAGAGAAGGGGATGCACGAGTCAGTCGAAACAATCGCAAAGCTCGCTCGTTAGCACACTCGCTCTCCAGGAGCGAGTGTGCTAACGTAAAATGCATGCGCGTCAAACGAACAACTGAGACTTCCTCACACTGAAATAATGGTTTCCTAATTTTTCTCGGTGTAGATAGTTAAATTAAAACCTCACAAAATCAGAATTACAGTACCTTTGTAGTATACGGTGTGTTTAATTTTCCTGAAAAACTGATTGGTAAGTACCTCACAGTTTGCCTAGAGGAAAAAGCGGGGGGAGGAGAGATTCCCCTCTTTATGGCGGCCACCTGTCGGAACTGGCCAAATTTATAAAGTCCCCCTTGTGGCCGTATTACTCAGGTTTCACTGTAGTGGGTATTGAATACCAATTCAGAGAATTAGCTCGATGTTTAATAAAATTTTCCCTTGATTTTCGTTGAACAAAGCAGGTGGAGTCCGGTCACTCTCAAGGCCTGAAGTCATAAGCGTAGCGTAGATGGAAAAAGTGGGGGGAGGTGCGTCACTGCCTGGAGTCCATTTTTTTTCATTTTTAACCCAATGATCTACTTCTTGCAGTTCGTGCGCTCCCGGTCAGTGCCTCTCACAGCTTTAAGACAGGATAAGACGACGAAGAGACGCCTAAACCCATGAACAGGAAATGAACTTGTCATGAGAATGGCCGGGAGGGAAGATTAGATGGAGGAGAGGACGAAAGAGAGCCAGGGGACGGCCGGGAATTGAACCCGGGCCTCCTGATTACCGGTCAGGTGTGCTTCCATTACACCACCGAACCCAGAACCTCGTGCTTCTCACTGACATCCTTATCATGACAAACTCACTTCTGGCATCACGATTTTCTCAAAAAGTAATCGCACGTATGCGATTAATGAATTTTATATCTTCACTATCATTTGACTTCTAGAACGGCTTAAAGGGATGGGATAAACTTTAAATCGAATGATTCCAAAAATCTCACAATTTTCGAGCTCTTAACCCATTTAGTCGATTCGTCGGCTACAAATGACGATATAGCGTTTCCCTGGCACTAAAAGAGTTAATAGTGTAGGCTGTGTAATGGTGGCTATCTACAGGGTGATTGTAAAGGTACTCCCTATTTTCAAATGTGGCGATATCTGTTTAAATGCAGATAGAAAATAATTTGTTGTCATTCGAAGATAATTTCATGACATTAAATTTGCTTTTTTTCAGATTGAATAAAATTGGTTCCGTTGTTTACCAAACATGGCGCAGTTGGCTTTGTCAGTGATATGCAACACTTGATCCTGGGACGACGCTAGCCTAATACTGGTGTAAACAAAAAAAAATTGCTATGGTAATATCAAAACCTCATATTTTTGACACACTTAGATAAGAAAAAAGCACAAATTAATGTTTTACAATTTTTTATTTAAATTTTAATTTGTCTAACATGGTGTACCGCTGGGACCTCCCTCAGTAACGGAAGGGTTACGACGCGAAGAGGAAGACCGAAGACCGTCAACGTTCCGAATTCCGGAAAATGCTGACGAGGACCAACAGAGTGACCTTTAAGAAGCCCAGATCTAACCACCTTGTAACTTTTTCTTATGGGGATGGGCGAAGGAGAAAGTGCAACAAACCTAAATGATTTGAAACAACTGGAAGAAAAGATAAGTGAAGTGTTCAATAATGTCCCACAGGAATTTCTTTTGCACTCTGTTGAGAATGTGGTGTTGCGCTTCAGAAAATGTATGGAAAATGCAGGTTATGTTGGAATTTAATGTCATAAAATTTTCTTTCAAAGGCATGAAAAATAATTTTTTAAATCCATATTTGAACATAAGTTATCACCGAATGAAAATAGGGAGCAATCGGCCTGTTTATGCAACACCCTATAGCATCATTTAAGCTACTTTTAAAAATTGTTACACTTGATAGTGCAGGAATGATTTGACCTGGTCAATTGAACAGCGGGGAGGATGCTAGGAATCGGTTACGATATTATCGGAATTTCTGAGATCTAGGGGAGCATCATGGTTAAGAAACGTGAAATTCCGAAATTCGACACTGCGTCAGGATGGACTCTGAAGAAAGGATGGCGGAGTCTTTGTCCCTGACGATTGGTCGATGTCACAAGGGGAAGCGAAAGGGAAAGGGAACTTTTTGACGCGATCCAGAAATCGCTCCTCGTGCAGTTCGTTCAAGAACCGAAGAGATTTACTTGATTAGATTTAGTTTTCACAATGGATGACAACTTGGTGCTTGATGTTGAAGTCCATGATAAATTGTGGGACTCACATTGCGTAATCACTTGGAAAGGTCGATTCGCAGAAATAGGCCGACGAATTCATATCACAAAAGGTAAGCGACTTCTACAAGCTACGAGCAGTGTTGATTGGTAACGAAGTAAAATAACGTGTTACAGTAACTTATTACATTTTAAAGTACATTTCAATGGTAGCGAGTTACTTAGCATGAAATTGTAACAGAAGCAGCAACAAATTCATTTTCAAAGGAAAATGTCAGTGGCGCTACTGTAACGCGTTACTTTCTTAATGACAGACTCGACTTCAGATTAAAGTGACGAGCGCTGTCATACATCACTGAAATAACTTTAAAAGCTGAAAACGCAATTCAAATTCATAACACTCCAACCTATGCCGCTGTGGAGAAGTTATTTAGTGGAAGAGGGGATATTTTCTCCTAAAACAAATTTTCTTACGCCAGCTTAGAGAAGCAGCTCCTTAAAGAGCAGACCCAACACATACGAGTGCATGGCATGCGTTTAACTCGAGGGAGAACCCCGGGGCGAGGTTTTTTTGCATCCTCTCATGAAAATACAGAGCTCTATTTCTAGAACGTACTTTTATGGACATAGTCGAAATTTCCGTGTCGTTAACCGGAATACTGCTAGAACGACCAGCTCCAAGTCAGCAGAGCTCGGAAAAAGTAACTTGTAACTCATTACTATTGATGAGAAGGATTTATACTTGTAATTATAGTTGCTTTTCACATGTAACGTGACAAATAAAATTAGGCTGTGTCTAAGATGATAGAAACAGAAATGGCGCTTGCAACAGGCGCACTGATAATCAAGCGGAGTAAGGGGAATATCGTGTGACTACAAGGTCATTGAAGCGCGAAATCAAGTCGGCGAAATGGGAGGTCGAGGAGCGGCTACCCATTAATGCTAAGAATAATCCCAAGGCTTTTGATCAAAGTGCCAGAGGCACGATTCAACGCTGGATCGGGCCCCTGAAGGACGACAAGGAGACTTGTACGAATAGCGGAGGCATATCTAGGATACTTGTTTACGAGTGAATACGATGACCAAGGTCACCTCGACGTGCATCAAGGATGTCATCACCGTGAAAGAGAGCATGAGTAGGATAGGAAGCTAGAAGAAAAGACTCAGTGGAATTCCGGTCTGTGTCACAAGGCAACTCGTACTGGAAGTATCGATGACATTCAACCATTCTCAAGAATATTTTGCGTGGAAAGGTACATAGGGATTGGAAATTTGCGAACGTCTTACTGATTTTTAAGGGTAAATGCAATCCGGGAGAGATCACGGAAAGTAATTAAAGAAAAATGACATCTTGTAATTCTTCGAGGGAAACTCGCTCATCCGAGAACTTCAACACCATTAAGAGATGCAATAGGAGGGGACGAAATCCTTACCAACTTGCTCGAACTGGGGAAACTAGGCGATGGACGAGATGTACAAGAGAAATTCTGTTGATGTGGTTGACTTCACGATATCGAAGCTGCTCCTCACAAGAGATTGGGAGTAAAATTGGAGGCGCACAGGACACAAGGTAAGGTGAGAATGACAGATGAGTATGCGGTTGGAGGGTAGAGGGCAGAGCGTAATTGTAAATGGACAAGTGTCGGCGGAAGTAGGAGTCGCGAGCGAAGTCCCCCAGGGCGAGGTCCTGGGACCGCTTCTATGCGTAACGGTACAGTAACGATTTAGGTCAAGGCCTCACGAGTCCAGCAAATTTGCCGAATACACGAAAATGAGTTTCTCCATCAGGGGAGGAAGACAAGGCATGAGCCAAGAGTGATTTAGAGCTTGTGAAAGTGCGGAGTACAAAATGGCGTATTAAATTTAATGAGTACATGAAAGATGTCATAGTAACGATGAGTCTCTGAACGCGTTTGGGGAGAATAAACTGGGGGGGGACAAACGAAGAGACGCAGGTCGATGAGGAACGAGTTCTCGCACGCGTAGGCCACAGTAGCCAAGGCTTCAACCGACATTCCAGTAGGCCTACCCTCTTCTATATGAACGTTTCACCTCGGCGATGGACATAATGGGCAAAATACCTTTTGGCGTGAAAATTGAAATTTTAGCTTTATATTCTTCAAAGTACCAAATCGCATGAAAATTTTAAATTATTTTTCTATGGAGTAAACAATTATGTTTCTGATTATTTAATATGGACATTTGATACCCAGCTTCACTCCAAGATAACTCCTATCATGGAAAACACAAATAAAAGTTTACTAAACATAAAAATCTCTTACTTTGCTCTTGGTTTCATAGATCCTTCCACGACATGATAAGCAAGATATACAGGGTGAGTCGTAAGTCCTGCCTACCTTTTGAATGTTAATAACTTCTCAACGTTAGTTATGACCAAAATGCGGTTTTTTACCAATCGAAAGACTGTATCTAACCAACAATTTCTGCATTAATTTGCCTTTGGTATCCTTCGACAATGAAATTCCTATTCCGGGGGTCTTATTGATGCATTGGCACTTGAAGTCATGCTTGCAGCACCGCGTCTAACTTTCCGTTCGACTGTCAGAGGGCGTCCAGATCGGGGAAGGTCTGCTACGGTTCACTTGTCAAACTTCGAGTTGATACGGGTGATCAACTTGCGGCTGACGGTTTCTCCGATTAATTTCTTCCTGATTTGTCGAGTGGGTTCCGTCGCATTCGAAGTAAAAGCGCAACTCACTAATCAAATGGTCTATCGTTTATCAGTCATTTTCCTCAATTCTCCTTACATTGGAATTGATCATAGCCAAGGCACAATAACCCTGACACTCGATCAGACAATTGGACGCGGTGTCGCAAGCGTCTTTTCAGGTGCCAATGCCTTTAACTCCCAGAATGGGAATTTCATTTCCAAAAGATACCATAAGAAAAATAAGGCTAAAATCCTTTATTGGTTACAGATTTGTCTCGAATGGTGAAAACTGCAACTTGCTAAGGCCCTGCGTTGAGACGTTAACGTTCAAAAGGTGGGCAGGACTTTTAACTCACCCTGTAAAAGACATGACCATGGTCCACCTATGGGATACTTTCCTCAACATGATCCAAATATCAAACTAATTATTTTGCTACTTATTGAGATACTCACCTTACATGTTCAGGCATATGTTCCAGCGTTTCCCTAGTTTTTGAATCATAGAATGTGTCATCCTGGGCATACAGTCAACGACGTACTGTTATCTGTATGTCCTTGTCTGATTAGAAAGGGTGGCTGGCAAGACTTCTATTTAACAACCCGATGAGATTAAAGTCTGAGGGGGCCAGGTCGGGGCAATGGTGAAGAATTTCCTCTTAGAGAAGTCTCACTGGCCACCATTTCCAATCAGGCATTGGAAATGTTGGAATTGGAATGTCCACACATTGGTTCGTCATTGGCTGTACGTCCAAGATAACACATTTTATGAGACAGGTATTAAAAAACTAGTGAAACCCTGCAACAAATGCCTGAACATGTACGGCGGATATCTCAAGAAGTAGCAAAAGACATGTACTTTCACCTGTATATGCCAAATTTTTTGTGCAGTACAGTATCTGCAGGAAAAATTTGATTGCCGTTATTTTCTGACTCTCCCTCATACTTCGCCACAGGAAACTGAAAATCCATAATTACTCAAATCAATAACATATCTCATCATATTTAATGCTTTCACCTTATAGCCTGACCCACAAATGTGCCCAGTTGAGAAAAACTGCTTATTACCTCAGCCTGAACTATACTCGAGGTGCATTAAAAAGCTTCTGTGGATAAATATGTGGGCTACCTTGTTGGGTAAAAAATGAGTGAAGAGCTTACAACAGTGGTTCCCAGACTTCTTTGAATCACGACCCACCGAAATCCAGGACGAGGTATTTTCAAAGTAATTATGGTGTGAAGAAAACCGATTGACCTTTTCTGCAGGGCATGTTTTATCCTCAGCAGGTCCAGATATAGGGATTTTTTTACTGGGAAAATGTACACAACCCACCTCGATGTCTCTTGCTTGCGACCCACTAATGGGTTGTGACCCACAGTTTTGGAATTGCTGCCTTACAAGGTTTTCTTTTTGAAAGCTATGCTTTTATGCCATATCAATCAATAATATCTGCTTTGTAAAATGAAAGATTTCATTTGTGACAGTGAAAACAAGTTGTTTGGATGTATTCTATAAAGTTGACCTTCCAAGATGCAGACAAGACAATGCATCAAATTCAAACAAGTCGATAAAGCATCTTGCGCTGAAGGCGATGCTGAAGTTCTCCCCGGCGAATCATGAAGTGGATGACTTTGAGTACAGCTCTTTCAGGATATTTCTATTAAAGTAGTAATATTTGAATCATTTCCAAGGGCAGACCTCAAAGGTATTGTTTTCAAGAAGCACAGTGACTCACCTGCTTGAGGAAATCCTGAATGATGGAATGTTCTGAAACTTGTGCTCCAATGGGGAAGCGTCTCTTGAGCTGATTCTCAATTCGCATGAGCATTTCATGATCCTCCTCAGTGGTGAATCCTTCCACTCCTGCAAAAGTCCAGCAAAACAAGGCAGCATATACAGATGCTGCATGCATGCAGCAAGGGAGGTTTCATTACTACAACAATGAACATCACCAAAACACATACCAGCTAGGCTGCCAGTGGAAGCAGCATCCAAAGTGGAAACTTGAAAGAGGCGAAGGGCTTCATCTATATGCCTCTCTGTAGCAAAAGCCTGAAGTTGCATCTTTGCAAGAGCTTCAGCAATTCTGACAACTGCTTCAAGTTGCCTGGAATAACACAACATAAATGTATGATTTTGCCCTTCTATCATAATCATGTTTTTGCATAAGTCCTTTAGGACTTATTTAATCATAAATGGGTTGCTCACTCCTAAATTCCTGAAAGCTTGAAGCATTTCCAAATGGATAATTTCCATAATCTTATTTCCCACCTGAAACCACCCATGTTCATGATGCTAAAAAATGATCAGCCTCCCTGGTATTTTGCACACTGCTTCTTCACACACACCAGAGCTTCCTTGACCTTGCTTCTGGTCTTGACCATCTACCTTTATCAAATTCAACCTTCATCCACACACATTCACTCTTGCTCAATTGTGAATGAAGCTGAATGATGGATTAGGTAGTTTTCTCCCATCCTTTGCAACTGTCTCAACTGCTCATCCTCTCAAGACCAAAACTTTCTTTTGTTGTATCCTATCCAAAACCCATTTCCATATTTTCCTTTCCCTTCAGACTCCCCCCCCCCCCAAGGGCCTTCCTTGTTGAGACAAACTGGCAGTAGAATGACAATGGAACTATCACCCTCTCCATCTATTGATAAGAGCATTACTACAACTTCTAAACAGCAAACACAGTTGAGATGATATCCTCAAGGGAACCAAAGTTTAGATGATCTTCCATTAGCTACACCAAACTGTGAGTCACATTACAGGCACCAATTCAAGAGGCCCCTAAAAGCCCTGTTACTTTTGCTTGTGTACAATCACAGCACAGAATGAACAAGCATGAAAAGACAAATGTGAACCAGCATAGCTTCTGCAGAGGGTACAGTCCATAAGTTTTTTTTTCATATAAGGCCTTAGGCATCCTTGGCTTTTGCAGTGGGATGTATAATTTAGCTTTCAATGCTTCCAGCCACCAGGAACAGAAAAAGTTTGCCTTATTTATAAACGTTATTACCGGACTGTGATGGGGATGTGAAGCCTTTTATCTTTGGAACCTCGCTCATGCTCCCGTGCACCAGATCGCATAAGAACATAGCGATTCTTCAGTTTCTCTGCTGCAGATGGCGACAACCTCGGCCCACAATGACTGAAGAAAACATGTACAACAGCCTCCAGAAGATGAGTACAAATTCACAGTAGCTTGGCAGATGAGAAGATTTCATTCCTCACGCTTTGCAATATCCAATATACTTTTTGAGAAATTCCAGTGACAGCTCTCCTTGGGCTGAATCCTCTTGCATGGTGAATGCATTAACATGGACATTCATCACATGCTTCGCCATAATCTGGGAGGTAGAAATCATAAAAAGCATTGAAACATTCTATTTGGTGAACTTGTGGAAAAAACTTCATGGTTCTTATGAAGACTCAGATGGCCCCTATGCTAAAGTGCATCATTTGAATAAAATGCACATCAGAAACAAATTTGAAAGCATTTTTCTCATCACGGTCAAAAGATATTACCAGTTTCACAAAATAGTCCATACTCACCCGGTCCTTATTCTCATCATGTTCATCCTTCACAATGAATATCATGTCAAATCTTGACAGGATTGTGGGCATGAAGTCAATATTTTCATCACCTTTAGTCTCATCCCATCGGCCAAATACAGAGTTGGCAGCTGCAAGCACAGCACAGCGAGAATTGAGGGTTGTTGTGATTCCAGCCTGAAACAAAGATTATAGCTCCTGAAAGCTTACCACTCTCCATGGGATGAATAAGCAACATTAGGCTGGACATGAGGACTAGATGAACTAACCTTGGCAATCGAGATGGTCTGTTGCTCCATTGCTTCATGAATAGCAACTCTGTCATCCTCCCTCATTTTATCAAACTCATCAATGCAAACAACTCCTCCATCAGCCAGCACCATAGCTCCTCCCTCCATAATGAAGTTCCTCTTCAAGGAAAAAAAAAAAGTTGAACAAATTGCAAGAATGATGGATTGGCTATTGTATGAGGATTACGAAGAAAATTTTCCATTTAACCTTCCTCATGGTATCTGAGTTACATACAGGATAAATATTCTCACTCAAGTTCTACTTTGAAACTGAGATACATCTGGGGTTGGCTGATTTCAAATCAAGTGATTTAATATTAACTCTTTCATGGCTGGTGGTACAAAAATTGTACAACATTTCTGTAATACCATCTTTTAAGGTATAGAAGCATGATGGTACAATTAATGTACCACCTATTTGTGATGCTGTTTTGAGGCAGCATGGTGGTTTATTACCAGAATCACATTGTATTACTCAAATAAATGTATCTTATTACAATTTTTTCCTGAAATTAAAAACACAGGCAGCAATGGATTTTTTTCCTGAAATTTTTGTGCATGAAAGAGTTACAGAATCCAAGTGTTTTAATCAATTTAACCAAAGTAAGGTTCTTGAGTGCTATTTTTCAAACTGTCTGGAAACTGCTATAAAAATGTACAACCTAATGATTATAAGAAACTGCATTTTCCCTAATTTCTATCTAGATGGGACATTTAAGTTTGCTGGCAGCAAGTATTCAAAGCAGGGTTGGTTGACATAAGTCATACAATTTAAATCAACATAAACATGCCAATCAAAAATGAGAACAGAAGGGGTGAGGATAAATGTGCACAAGGTTGTAAGTAGTATTCATAATGCCCACAAGACCTGACATACATGGGAACATAAAAAACTTTTTTTTTAACACACCGAAGAAGGATCTCTGACAACTGATGCAGTCAGACCAGCTGCTGATGATCCTTTTCCTGATGTATATACCCCAATGGGAGACACCTTCTCAGTGAATTTGAGCATCTGAGACTTTGCAGTTCCAGGATCTCCAAGGAGAAGAATATTGATATCCCCTCGACGAGTGAGACCATCTGGAAGTCTCTTTCTTGACCCTGCTCAGCAATCAAGAGGATAGTAGTATTTCAGTACCTCAACTGTTTGAGGTTATTAGAGACAAAAATTTGCCATTTGAGAAAAGTATAGCCTACCTCCAAATAGGAGACATGCTACAGCTTTCTTGACATCAAGGAAACCATAGATGGAAGGAGCAATACTTCTGGCAATCTTCTCATGGCAATCAGAAGAGGAAGCCAAGCGTCTGAATTCTTCTTCCTCTTCGGGAGTAAAGGCTAAGGAAGCACTGGACCGGCCAGGGCCAACTGACTCCACTGCTATTCCCACAACTCGAACATATGGAGCACGGATACCCACTGCAACTTTGTCTTTGGCAGTACGCTGGAATTACATACCCAGAATAAGCTTGAAGATGGAAAAAGAAAAAATTCATAAAAAAACAAACAAATTTTACCTTATTTTTGTTGAACACTTTCTTGATGGAATAGATACCCAAAAGTGTGACTCTGTTTCCTGGTACAACTCGTTCACACAGGTCTCGATCGCAATAAAGGAGCATGTGTCTTGGAAGCTCTCCCTGTGGAATGTCCTCTGGTGATTCCTGAAGTTTGAGGATTTGGTAATCCACACATTGACACTTGTCCGGAAGAATAAAATATGGATCCAAGGGACATTTGGGTTGCCCTGCTTGATCACTGTGGATGGCAATACCAAAAATGGCAGAAAGCACTATTAGGTAGGGCTGACAAGAATCATATTTGCTATTAACTTATTTATTATTCATTATTTAGATTGATTACTTTTAAACCAGGCTTTCCTAAGATCTGCTACTTTTCTTGAAGTAATTCACCCAATAGCTTTTCTATCAAATCCTTTTTTTCTTATCCATAGGCCTAGTCCATGACAACATGAAAAGAAGGATGTGGTTCATAAAAACCAAGACAGGTGATGCAAAGGGGAAGGAAATTAGTGGTTTCTTTGTACCATTTCTGAAACAAAATCCAGCTTTCCTAGGCATGCATAAACTTTTTTTTGTTCCACCAAAGAATTTGCTTGCCACCCTGTGAGCTCATATAATTATAATTGTCAATTTTTCAGCTTGCAAAATAATTGGAGAATCCAAGACTGCTGCACATGTGTACTTATTTCTCAGAAAGAAGAGAAATAGCACAGAAAATTAACTAATAACATAAATAAAGACTCCACAAAGTATGAAAACCTAATATCTCAGAATGAAACTTTTCTTTGGGCCCAAATTTCCTCATTTATATGACAAATAATGACTATAAATTGAAATCAGAGTTTAAGGTCTGTGTAAGAGGTCATTCAAATCATTATTCATTTTTAATTCTGGAATTTAAAGCCCAGATTCCAAAAACACTGATCACATACATACTTTGAAAACCCTATTCCATCCTGATCTACAATATTAAGCCAAATAAAATCTTATTTTTTGTGTAGAACCCTCCCAGGCCTACCATATCATGGGGAAACTTACGTGTTGCACTTCCGTGGCAAAGCATAACCTTCTAAGCCAGGGCGGATAGGGATGTTTGAGATTACATTCCGACAAGAACGACATTGGATTGCAATCTTGGTTGCTTTAGACCTCACTCCAGAGGCAGACACAATGATCCCTTGCAGTTTCACCAGTTGAGCCACTTGTTCTGACTGATGGAATGAAAAAAGAGATCAACCAAGAACCACTCAAAATATGAAGGCCTTACCAACAATGGCTACTTTCTTTAAAAAAAAGTACAATGTCAAGGATAATGTCTTTAGAAATAAAAAAAAGAAACTGAAGATCAAGAGTGTCTTCCTAACATTTAAGTTTGACATTAAGTAGTTACTGGTCCTGATCTAAAGTATAAAGCACAACTTGACCAAAGCCCCCAAAAATTTCTCACTTTGATTTCTCGAATGGCAGATGGATTTCCTTCTGAAAGCAACATGACTAGAATGTCATGGATATGCACTTCACCTTCAGCACGAGGTCTGGTCACTTCATCTGCAACTTCTGTGGCTGCTTCTTCCAACTATGTTAAAAAAAAGTCCCCATATTAAATTTCCTACACATCTACATACCCTAGGCCCATGAAGGGTTCTAATCAGGAATTCGTAAAACATTAGGCCAAAAACTTACAAGAGGCAGATATTCAGTGGGATTCTTGTAGATCTTGCTCTCGAGTTCTTCATCGTAGCTGGCAATATCTTCAATGGAAATCTCAATGCAGTATTTCCCAACATTGTAATTCCTCTTCAATGCATCTCTAAAAATTAAAAAGCATCAAATTACATGGGTAAAATAGCCTTGTCCTAGATCCTATGATTGACCTTTTCTATGTCTAGGCCTAACTTCTGCAATGGTCCGGGAATACGCTTATCGTTCTATGGCTCAATTTGGCAGACTGGCAGCCACTTGGCAAGTCTACCATCCAAGTAAGTATTATTAGGCCTGTGCCCTCACCTGTACTTGTAGGTAAAATTTCCCTCATGAAACTGCATCAAGAAGTCTTTGAACTTCTTCTTGACTGCCTGCAGATTGACTTGAGAATCTTGTAGGCCCTCGCCAGGCAGGTTATCAGAGAAGAAAACGCCAGGATCGTCGAATCCTTCCATCTCGAACAACGACGTTTGACCAAGGTGTAATTACGTGACCAATGCTCAAATTCAGTAAGCCTCAATATCAACTTCCACGAACTAGGTCCAAAACCAAGTAGCGAAGCGAAGAACTGAGGACCACAGCAACAGCTTCACGTGTGGCGGGAAACGACAGGTGACGTCAGACTCTTGGAGTGCGCTTGCGCCAAAGGGAACCGCCTCTCCCTTTCTTCTTTTTCCCAGTGCCAAACCTCATACTCAATACCCCGCAGATATTTTTTAATATTCCATGGCCGAAGGAGATGAGGGTGCAGATACAAAATGCAGAACAGACAGGCTTCGAATTACTCTCGCTCTATCCCCTTTCAAATTCGAAGACACCTCGATGTGCCTTCGCTTTTCTTAAAAGTTAAAAAGTAAAAAATAAATGTTTCCTAAAAGTTAAAAGAAAAGGTCTGAGAATGACATCCACATTGTTACAGTAAAAATCCCACCACTTTATTGCCTTTTTTGTGCCTGGCAATGGAATGCAGCTTTCAAAAATGTTCTGGAATCATGAATAAACCATTATTTTTATTTGTATTAGTTATTCAAGGTGTAACAGCGTGGCTGGTTTGTAGCGAACTTACAGTCCCTGGTCCCGAGAGATATTGGTCCGACTCCAGCCGAGCTAGTAATGTATTGCAGGGTCCCGCCGTGGCCTTATAACACGGAATCGCTGATGATGACGGTCGTGCAACGGGCAGCTTACTCTCGAAGTAGCTATTCAGACCAACTCTTGTCTCTATGGGGTGAGTGCTGCTTACCAAACAGACGGTCTTCCGCTGTTTCCGGATTGACTTTTCCCCACCTACCCTCCTTCCTCCCCGGCGCTATCAAAAGTGCTGGAGACACCCTTAAAAATTAAATAATCACTAACCTCCAAGGCGAGGCGAGAGGTGGGGGTTGGGGAAGGAGGGAAAAAAGTTTTTGTTTTTTTTTTACTGAGACAGGGTTAATTGCGATGTGTACCAGTGAGTGGAGCGATGGAGCGACATCCCCGATAAGCAAGGGAACTGCTACTGCACAACTCGACGGTTGAAAAAGGATTAAAAACAGGGATGTAGCCAGGGGGGGGGAGGGGTGTCGTGGGTATCTGGAAACACCTCGAAATACAGTGTCCCTCATTTTGCTTCCATAGCTCCACCAGTTTTTTTTTTTTTTAAGTTCCAGTAGCAAACCATGATTCAGGAGTAGCTCTCACCCACTAAATTATGACTAATTCAAGATTAGTCTTTGACCCATATTTCTTTTCATGCAAAAAAATTTGACATTTTAGGAAGAGAAGGGGCTATTTTGAACTATGAGGTGGGTGGGGTTGAAGTTTCAAACGGGCTTTCAAAGTGTTCCTCATTCCTCCCAACAACTCAGCTTCCTCGGCCACTTCATCATCTCATGAGCCTGAAAAAGCCTCACAAGACACCCCCCGAAAATAATTCCTGGCTATGTCCTTGCATAAAAAAGTACATGTAAATGAAGGTAAAAGTAAGGGTGGATTTTTGAACAGAGAACTATCCGATAATGCAGCTTTATTCCAGGGAAAATACATTTTATATTTCCTGTAAATAAAGCAACATTATCGGATAGTGCTCTGTTCAAAAATCCATCCATAATGTATTTTCCATGGAATAAAGCTGCATTATTGGGTAGTTCTCTGTTCAAAAATCCACCCTAAATTCTAGAAACACTGTATATACTCCCAACAACATTCAAAGATAAAAAGGATTCCCACTCGAAGGGAGTACCGGTACGTCGTTCTGCCTCAGTGAAATGTACCGGTAGGTCGTTCCGACTCGACTCGTCTTCATGCAATCATGCAGTTGATTACGGTGTTTTTCGTTCGTTAGTTCGACATTTTTACACTTGACTCCCACGCCGACGGTGCTCTGAGTTTCTCCCAAGTGCCTCCTTCATGCAATAATTTCGCAGCGAAATGAAAATTGAAATCACGTAACTGAAAGACACCGTCGAATAGATTGAATACGCACTCATTGATTTTATCCCTACGTCTGAATTCAAACGAGGGATGCTTCTCGAATGACTGATCAGGAATTTTCGCTGATGCATCTGATGACCCTTGCATAGCTATCGCTGCGAAAGTCGCCATAGTTCCTGCAGCTAGGAGTCGACATAACGTTCAAATTCCTCCTCTGGAAGTGAGTTATTTATGCGATTATGGTCTATCTTTGGTCGGATGTAGACTTATTGTTTGCCCCGGATCATTAGGGAAGCTGCGTCGTTTCTAGCAATAGATATAGGTTATCTAAAGCACGGTAGCAGCAGATGTCGGCAGCGGGGGCTAGGCTGGAGTAGCGGTCGGCCTCACAGCAACACAGAATGGGGCGGCGTTGATTGCTGCGTTACGCGTCTACCGGTCAAGTGAGGAAGGGGATTGCTCGGGGAAGACTGAATCAGTCGACCGTGAGATGTGACTGAGCCATGTCCTTAAGTGTGAGTACCACGATTTCCCCTCCTGTGTCTCCCCTAGTGACGCTCAATGAGACCACGGTTCGGTATCCGGAAAATCCGGATCAGACTGAGAAGGATATCTCGGAAGTGATGGAGAAGTTGAACGAGAATCTTCAACTCCCTCCGGATTATTTCGTGAGGACCCCCTTCTTCTGGCGCTGGCTCGTGCCCTACGGTCTCTTTCTCACCATGGTAAGAAACTATTCAAAATGCATCGAATGAATGTTCAAGCCTCCATGCATTAATCATCCATCAACTCATCTATTTCTGATGAGCTACATTGAATATTGAAATGTCAACGCCCTCTCAATGAAATAAATTGCGACGCATTTATTTAGTAGAGTCCTACTCCAATTCCCATGCGGCATGGGAAGAGCATACGTGGCTGGCGGATCCACGAGAAAACGCCAAAATCAATAAATATATGGGAAAAAAAAACTCGGAAGAAGCTGTCAGAGGGGATCATGATATCTCTTGCTTCTGCCTACGGAGAACTGATGCGGGTATGAAGGGTGGAAATGAGAGAACCCCGGGATGAAATTGGCCTATCGATCCAGAGGCTATTGGATATATCTTCTTTCATGGATTGCTTGCTTTCCCGTCATCATACCGAGTCTCCTTCCCCTAATTAGTAATTAGCAACAAAATAATCCTCATATACCAAGTTTTAAGATGGGTTAAGCACGAACTGGGTGCGTTAGATGATGAGGACTCGGGAGAGTGGAGTAGGCCAGCTAATGCCATAAAGTTCATGTGGTTGGGTGTGTCTTTTTATACCATAAGCCTTATTAAGACTTGCATGATCCCTCTCCCTCCTTACATAATACAGGAGAACACCCCATTTTGTTCATTCATTCCTCATACGCATCTATCTGTAGCGAAAGATAGCCCTATTTTCTACTAAGGGCCTGAAAGCGAGGAGGAAATTATTGAGGATCGATGGATTTGATCTCTGGTTGGCAGATGTCTTGGCTGGCACCTGACCTGATCCCAACTTATTCGCCTCTAGGAGCCTTGGCCTCTTACCTAGGAACTGCTGCCAATCGACTCATGGGCATCATGTAAGTCGATCTCCTCGAGTTCTATCTCGCGCTCCAACCTTGAAACTCTGATCGTGCCTATGGAATGTTCCACGTGGTGACGTGCATGCCTTGCCAAGAAGTAATTATCCTTTTTTTATCCTGAAGAATCATGAGTCAGAGTAGTGCAACAAGCGTGAGCCATTCCTTTTTTTTTCTTCGCAACAAGATTTGGCAGGCTCACTCTCTTAGCTTTACCCAGACAAAAACTTTTCTCCTCTTTCCGTTCCGGAATGCACTCCAAAAACCTGAATCCTACTCTGGTATCATGAATGCAGTTTCACGGTGGCAGTGCTCCTGCACGTGACGGAATCCGGTATGGCCCTCCATTTGGCTCTCTACACCTACAACCTGAACCGAGAGGTCGTCTTTCAATGGTGGCTTCAGACCTTGCACTATGGCATCTTCTCCCTTTGGTACCTTCTCAAGCCTCGAGTTCAAGATATCAAGAAAGCCTCGTGAATCCATAACGCCTTTCGTGCTATTAAATTATGTAATGCTGTCATGACTGAATGCTTCCAGAATAATATGAAGGTGTATGATACCTATGGATACATTCATTCGTACATGCAATGCACGTGACTTTCCTTTTTGGAAACGAGAACGTGTGTTCCAGGTGCGAATTTCCTTCTCGATGCGTTAATTACAAATAAATATCCAATTTTCTTCATCTCAAGGGGACGTGTGAATCAGCGCATCACACTAGTGATATTGAAATTCATATCTCAAGAGTAAGCCTCCCACAGAACTTTGACCGAGATACTAGCCGACCTTGAAAGAGTCTCTGTGCTTCCCTCCAAATGACTCGGCTAGATAGATAAAACAAGGGCCGACCTCGACCGTCTGGTGACTTGACTGTCTGGATACAATCGCGTTGACTTTCGAAGATGCAACTGCATCATTCCCCGTCCTCGACCCGGCTGCAGTTGGGCATTTCCAGATTGGACTCGATCCCAGAGGGCCGTGAAGCTGAGTTCGTGAGAATCCCACGGGATTTTTTCGTCCCGAATCATCCATGCGTGCATTTCGTTGCGTTCGCCGTGTCCCTCATCTATCTAGTAAGTGCACACTCTCAGCCCTACTCTTCCCATTCTGTCCCGTTGGAAATGCATTTCGTCTGAATTCTTGTCCCCATCAGGTGTCCTGGGTCTCACCACATGCTCTTATCGGAGCCACTGGAATCAACCCTGACGACCATGTCACTCTTCACTTCCTGTAGGTTCTCATTTCCTTAGTAATGATTATGACTTACTTCAGGGTGGGCAAAAAAAAAATATTCAGTTATCTTTAACGTTTCACAGCGTCGTTTTTCAAGAGTTTATTATTGTAATAAACTCTAAAATATTGTAATAGCGTTTCTATACAAAACATTTATCTAGCTTTCCATCGATGTCAAAAGATTTCAGGTTCAATTTGTCACTCCGATGCAGTTACGTAAAATGTAACAGCGGTAACGCTTGAAAAGTGCACTTACCAGTACAATATGGGATGTGCTCCAGGTGACGTCCATTCTTTCGCTCATGGCGAGTAGGCTTAGTCTTGCGTGCACTGGCTGAAATCGCAGTACGCCACAAACTTTCCCAGCGCCGCCTCTCACACTCTTTATCTAACTGCGTGGTAGTTACATAACGTGGTAGCCACAAACCTTTATTTTGCTGACATCATTCGAAAGCTAAATGAATGGTCTACATGGAGGTACTATGACATTTTTTAGCAAACTCTTGTGGACCAGTGCTGTAGAGCGATAAAGATAACCTAAGTTTTTTTTTTGGCCCACCCTATAGGTAGGAAGGCATAGGAAGCTATGGCTTCATATACGATTGACACGTAAGAAACACAAACCGAGGAAAACGCTATTCAATTAATTTATTTATGATCAGGTGTGCTGCTTCCACTTCATTCATAGCGGAACATATCTCTTGCTTCAAAGCCAGAGGTAACTTCCCTGACCTAAATTCTGAACTTTGTCCTTTTTTTTCAGCCTCAGCACAGTAGTGATAGTACATGTTTTGGAGTCTGGGCTTGCCTTGTACTGGACAGCGTTCCGCTATGACTTCTACTGGACCACATGCTTCAAGTGGTGGATTCAAACACTCTACTGTGGCATTTTATCCCTGCGCCATCTTATGAAGCTCAAAACTATACTCTCAGGTGACAATAAATAGTCATATGCAGCCGATTCTCATTCCAAGGTTTTATTTATATGGGCAACATTCAGAGAATGTTCCACATCCCAACAGGATTCTCCTTAATCATTTCAAATTTTTCTATCATCAAGAGGGAAGAAAAAATTCTGCCAGCTACAGAGATATGACAAGGAAGGGCCCATCAGATGAGTCGTAAAAAAAAAAAGGTAAAACAGCGGAATGTATTTTCTCTCTGATGACAATGAATGTGATTGGGAAATATGGGGCATCTTAGAGTCCCAGCGATGAAACATGAATGCAGACAGGGGCCTCCAAGTCTGATTCACAAGAAGAATAATTCAGATATAGTCAAAGAAGGAACAGATAAAGATGGATAGATCGGAGGAACATGAAGAGGAGAGGGGGAAATTTTTCTATTTGATCAGGTTGGTGAGCACTCTTCAGGCAAAATCAAGGAAACAACTTCAACCATTAAAGTTATATAGGAAGAACGAGCATCACAAGATTCATCTTCCCCTTCATAACCAATATGGGTTATAAGAGATGGAATATGCCTAATCTAAAATTTCACCAAGGGCCAGAATCCAATACGCCCACAACCCACTGCACTCGCCACAACAGGAGCAGGAGTGAAATCAATCACTGTACAAGCCTCAACTGTACACACTGAAGCAAGGTCTCAATCTCTGGTGAATTGGGAAGTGAGGGGCTTTGAATAAAAGGGGAATCATTCTCAATGCGATGACCAACTTGAATCTTGGTTCTCATCTCGAAACTTCCATTGAATAGATATATCAAGAAATGCACTGACTGAAGAGAAAGAAGCCAACTACTGAGGATTCCCAAAAACCAATTTCACCCCAAATGTTCGTGCAATTTATCAATTCCATAGTTGGTTTTTACACTCATACCAGTCAAGAAATCTCAACAATGTGATCTGGATTGCTACATTCCCTAGGCCAACCCTTCCAAAATGTGGAGAATGAAGTTTAAACCTTTAAAGTTCAAGAATGACAATGAGAATCACAAGTCTCACCCGGGAGACGATGAGGAGACAGAGGACGCAATGAGGAGAGGGAAGGGCAAGGCAAGTGCATGTGTCAAAAATTCAAACATCACAAAGCGCCAAAATGAAGCAGAGAACCAGAATCCTATCCCATGCTGTTCACATGATACTTTTTTTCTGTCCTGACTCATATGTGGGACTGAGGGATGGGGACACTGCCAAAACCACTAGCGGAGAAGATAGGAGTCCACGTAGTTCCAGTTACTGGGGGAGAGGCAAAGCATAGTAACCATGCATGCACACTGCCTTGCCTCACCTTGTCCAACAGGGTGTCCCAAAAAATTATCCTTTTGCAGTTCCATTCACAGCACCCACATTACTTGGACATCATCATGGTGACAAATTCTGTGGGAAAGAAACCCATGTCACACATTAACATCTGGTTCACCACCTGCCTGCATATTTAGCATACCATTCAAGAAAATTAAACCTACCTTCATAATTGACCTGCCCATCTCCATCAATGTCTGCTTCTCGGATCATCTCATCAACTTCTTCATCTGTGAGCTTCTCACCCAGATTGGTCATGACATGCCTCAATTCAGCAGCAGAGATGAAGCCGTTGCCATCCTTGTCAAAAACCCGAAAGGCTTCTCGAATCTCCTCCTCACTATCTGTATCTTTCATCTTCCTTGCCATCATGGTGAGGAATTCTGGGAAGTCTATCGTCCCATTTCCTAGGAAGAGAAGGAAAAGTATATCAACTCACAGTGACAATACATGTACTGGTACCAGTAAGCTAAACCAAATAATTGACACCTCCATATATTTCCAGCTGGTTCTTTTCAACCATGACATTGGGAATTGAATCTATTAAATGGAGTCACTCTTTACAACAATGAGATAATATAGTGGAAGAAAAGTTATTGAAATTTTATGCTTGATAAAGCCAAACATTATCAAGGTTTCCTTTGCACTAATAAGAAGCTACATACTGTGGTATAAAAACTCTCCATGAGTACTTACCATTTTTTAGTTTTTCTTTTAGCATTGAAAAGGCCTGAAACTGCTAATAAGACCAACCTATGCATAACTTACCTAAAATTAACTGGCTTCTGTAATTTTTGAATGTAATCTATTTTAATCTGCCATATCTAAGGGCGATGGGATGTTATGAGAACCATGGAGATATTTTAACAATCGTAATTATTTCTAAATTCACACTCACCATCGGCATCAACTTCGTTGATCATGTCTTGAAGTTCAGCTTCTGTTGGATTCTGTCCGAGTGACCTCATGACAGTTCCCAATTCCTTGGTTGTGATGGTGCCATCTCCATCTTTGTCGAAGAGGGAGAAGGCTTCCTTGAATTCGGCAATTTGCTCTTCGGTCAATTGGTCAGCCTGAAATGATTACCATTTAACATTTGGGGGATGCTGGCACTGGGTCGATTCAGTGACCTCATTTGGAGGCTTTTGAGAGCAGTTTCTCAAGCATGAACAGACGTGAACTAGCTCTTATACAACTACACCCGAAAAATTAGCTCTAGCACAGGTATACCATACTTTTCACTCACCATCTTTGGGTTCGACGTTAGATTTTAAAATGCAGATATACTAGCGGCTACAGGAATATCCAGAGAGGAGACTCCAAATGGATGATGGAATGTGACCGGCACTGGGGATATATCACTGGACTCCCGACACTTTACACCAACGCAAGCCTTAGGAAACTCACACAACGACCTGCAATGGAAAACCAATGAAAGCACGTTACTATCTCACCTTAGCCTGGTAACTTCATGGATTCGAGTCATAAATTACGCCTAGATCTATTCGGTAAACGAAGACTCTGGCGAGCGCAGAGAGCAAATTCGAGCGACGGGGCAGAGGAGGGGGGAAGTGAAGGACTTGAGCTAGGGCGAAGGAAGCCGGGGTCGAGGATAGGCCGTTTGGCGCATGGAGGATGGCGCGCCTGGCCCTTATTGGCTGCCTGGATACCCGCAATGCGACGGTGTGTGGAAACCCCCCTCGTTCCTACTGCATTGCAGCCTTCTCTTCCTTTTTCTCCCTCTTCCCTCTTCCTGCCGCCGTCTGCAGTCTCCATGGGGGAAAAAAATTTCCCCACGGCCGACACGAGCGAGCGAGCGAACGTACATACGTACGCACTCACGCACGTACTCACGCGCCTCGTACTGCCTTTCAGATTGATCACCGATGTTTACGTGGACCAAGGACGCACACGTCCCTCAGCTCGAAGTCGTTCGCGTCATCATGAGTTTCTGGGCCGAGGCACAGGATGGTTGGAATTGCAAGGGAAAATGACTGAAGCATACGTCTCGCTTCTCAATGAAAAGAAGCCAATATATCTCATATGAATAGCTATCGTTCCACCGAAGGGATTCAGAGAGGAGATCTCTATTCTGCGCCCATATTCGCAGAATAAAAACACCACTGGGTGCCGCCGCACCTAAAGATACCCTATCTCTATTCTGTGGCCAAGACTGCAAAATTTTCTCACGATTCACACACTGCGGGTGGGTGACCCCATTTGACCAATATCCAAGTTATTCGGATCTCCGATAGCTCAACGACTGTACAAGGAAAACGACCACCCCGATAAGGGCACGCGAGGATGATGCTAACACGGCAGTAATCTATATTACGGAATCCACTGTAAAGGCGCCAGGAATTGCGAGGCGTCGGCGAGAAACACGTGAAACGCCTCGCATGACGGAACAAAATGGGCCCCTATAAAAAAAAAAAAAGGGGGGGGGGGGGGGGGGGGGGGGGGGGGGGGGGGGGTTGGGGAAATTTTTTTCCCCCATGGAGACTGCAGACGGCGGCAGGAAGAGGGAAGAGGGAGAAAAAGGAAGAGAAGGCTGCAATGCAGTAGGAACGAGGGGGGTTTCCACACACCGTCGCATTGCGGGAAGTTGGAAGGTAGGCACAACGTCGTGCACAACCCATCCGCAATGGCGCGAGGTTAGGAGCGTAAGTCGGGTTTGGAGCGACGCCTGCGCCCCTCCAAAATTCGATACGAGGCTGGAAACTGGGAGAGACTTCCTTTATGGATTCCCTCACCCCCTCCCTCATTTTCCGACACGATTGCTCAATCTAAGTTTTCTTCCACGTGAATATGGGGGAAATTCTTGTCTTGCATGTCTGGCTCGCGAAGGAACCTTGCAATCGATAGACCCAATTCGGGGCAGGTCTCCCCAGAGGCAGCTCTCATTCGGTCCCTCCCTCTCATTAAGTCCCTCCCTCGTATCCCCTTCCGTCGGTCCGACCCAGGAGAACCTGGATCAGAAGTGGTCGATTCTCATTTAGTGGAGTGCCTACGTACTACCCTTTTCCTTGTTATTAAATATTTTATTATTATTAATCCTGGCCTTGAAAACTCTCAACAGTTCTACAAGCCTACTTCACTGGAAATTATGTAGTCGCATCCTATCCATTCTTAACGGATCCTGTCAGATGGAGCAGCCTTTTCCATAACGGGAGCGGAATGACAAGTTATGATGAGGTATGAGCGTTAGCGCTGACAGCCCGGAGATTCAGACCAAGGACCCGACCGTGGAATCCATGAGATGAAGGTCACTACGAAGGCCTTCGAACGCGCGTAACCCAGTCGTGTTTTATCACCTGTCGATCATACGCGGAGACCGACGACAGCAGATGGCGGACTCGCCCACGGCCCCCCATTAATCACGGGGCAGGAAAAGCCCCTTCAAAGGCCTCAAAGGGCCAGGATCGCACAGGAAGAGATAGGAAGCCAAATGAGGGCTGTCTTAATAGCACAATTGCTCCAGGACGATCGATGAAGACAGGAACCTGTGGTTCACTTCCTGCAGATCACCACGGCAGCTCCGCGAACGCCAACAAAAGCAGCACGAGCCCCTGTCGATTGCTAAGAGACTCCTATAATTATAACCATTACTGGCACATTAACGCGTTCGGCGATCTCGAAGGTTCCAGTCCACGCTTACGGTCCCCATTTCCATTCTCTCTTCTAATTGTGAGAAGATCCTAAGAATAGAACAAGAAGAAGAGCGCCAGAAGTTCGCTCTCCCGGGAATTTTACGGGGTCCTGGAGGTCGCTTCATTTCCGCTTCCAGGAAATCCTGGCAATTATCGGCAAAACTGAGAATATAAACACTAGATACAAATCTCACGGGAATTCGACGATAGAAAATGGGAGTGTGGGAATAGAATAGAGAGAGAATGGAAGGACAGAGAGCGAAAGAATAGTGAATATTTTATGGCGAGAATGGCCTGCGCTCCACGTTATCGATCGGTGCACACCACATCCCGCCTTCCAGACCTTCTTTCTTCATATAAGGCTTCCCCTGCCATCGATCTTTCCCTCCCGCCCGTTTCGTCGACCTTCTTTCTTTTATTACCATCATCATTAGCCCGCAATGCAGCAGCGGAAGGGCAAACAAGAGGCTCTCGTGTACCCGTGGTATCTGCACCTCCGGATGCAGACGCTCTCCTGCGGAAAGATAAGTTTATCGCCTGCGTGAGTTGTCATCGAGGATTAGAAAAACTGGGACTCGTGGGTCATCAATCGCTATGGAGGGAAACCCTAGTTGGCATATTCCCAGGGGTTGAAGGTCCTCGAAAGTTCTCTCAATGGAGATAGGGGAACCCCGAAGGCTGGATTTGCACAATGAAAATCTTGGTCTCGGTCCAAAAGAGAGAGAAAATCTTCGTCTGGAGGAGGAGACCTTTCCATCCATCAGGGAAAGGAAGAGGCGAGGCAGATTCCATCGGGCGGAAATGAGAGGCCCTCAGATGACCTTGCCTGGGTCATTTCATCGAAGACACCCCTGTGCATCCGGGTCAATCCATCGATCTCACTCAGTCAACGGACGCTACTGCCAACTTCAGCCTTCCATCGAATGATGAAGGAATTTCTACGCAGTACTTGCGCTCTGGATGCGATATCTTCTTTAGATTACTGGGAGCTTCATTAGGAGCCCCACCTAATCTGAAATGCAAATCCTTGCAGTGTCTCATCTTCCTTCATATTTATCCTTGCAAGCTTTTCCTCGGCATCTCACCATCCCTCTCTTTCCATTTACAGCTGGAGGATATTCCTCCATGGTATAATCCGATCTGTATCACATGCTAGGAACACAGGCTTATCATCAGTCTGATACATCCGCATTTGAAGGTTGAAGGACGAGCCGGGATTTTTTCCCCCTCCAAGCTCGACAAGGACGGAGATATTAACCGATGCTTTGAGTGGCATTCGTCGTCCCCTGTATGTGAACGGAGACTTGTTTTACAACACAGCCAAGCAATTGTCCTTTCCGTCTTCTTTTTTCCTCTCTACCTTCTAGTAAACGAGACACAGGTGGCGCATCAGCGGTCCAATCCCTTTACCGTGTTCTGTCGGTGCATGGTGACAGGCGGAAACAAGGGCCAGGTGACACAAAGGATATTCCTTAGAACAAGGTCAGGTGACGCCGAAGACCCCCCTCGGAAAGAACTGGAATCCCTTTTCGGTTTTCGACCTCGTTTTCACGCCTTTCAAGAGCACTCTTCCTCCCCTCATTAATTTTTCTTCTCTTTTTTGTCCTTCCTGCCTCCTAAATGGAAGAGGAGTCTAGGCATGACAGCTCATCCTGGACCCCTCATTAGGACCCATTACACGGGCACGGTAGCACCTCCGTAACCGGAGAGCCCATCCCATTCATGCTCAGAATGAATGGTGTGGTGGAGATAAACAAAAAGAAGCCCTAGAAAAACTCCCGTATGAGATACATGATACATTATGTGAGAGAGACCAGGCACACTACGCAGATGCATGCATACACCGAGGACAAACACGGCATCCATCATTTGCCAAAAAAAAATACTCAGCCATTTCGAGAACGCCCTTCCAACAACGAAGAATCATGATCAAAGATCATTAGGGCGGCGAGTTGCGCCACATAATTTCGCTAGGCAACTACGCGCGTTTACTTGGATACGGGGTCGATGAGACCCCACGAAGAGCGACAGCCGACCGACGCAGGCGAAGCCCACAAATGCGCCGCGTGCTAACACCCGTTGCAACGCTCGGGGATGTCCTCCAGGCTTCAATGGATACATCCGCGAGTCTTCCGCTGAATCCTTGGACGGTGGCCAAAGCAATGGGAAAGCTTTAGTGCCGCCTATCCGAGTAATAGAATCCGGAGAATAAATCATTCCCTATTGAAACAACGCCACAAAAGAAAGGGGAAAAAAGAGGGATAAAGATTAAGGATTTCGCCCAGACCGAAGATCACAGGGCCCATTACGATGGAAGGACAGGGAACGATTCCTTCTTATGGGGAAAGAGCAAATCTTCCCATTATTTTCTGATGAAGAGGATGCTCCAATGCGAAATTGGAAACTTGAACAAGGAATTCGAGGGACTTCTCCCTCGAGAAGCTGCTTTACCTCAAGCGAATTCTCGTCACGAGTTGAAGGTGACATTTGAATCAGCTGCGTCCATAACAGGTCACGTCCTTTTTTACTCAGCCTTTTTTGTCCGGCTGACGTGACGAAATTTCTCTCGAAGACTCATCACTTCGGGTCCCGCCAAATGAAAAGGATTCGATTCTTAGCGTGATCTATAATTGGGACCAGGAAAATGATTCTCGGCTTTCACAATCGCGTGCCACTAGCAGAGCAACTAATTCCATGGGATTAATGACAAATGACATCTAGAGAATAAGTCTTTCCTCCCTAGTTTGAGATGACATTCCATCCCATCATCCCATTCCAATCCAT